GCTGTAAAGTTTTAAAATGCTCAGCAGAACAAAGGGGTATATACTTAACCCGTTATAAATATTATAAATGTGTGCTATTATAAATTGTTGAGTCTTTCACAAATAAGGAAACTTGGCGTTCCAAGGGGTTAAATAACATGATTATGGAACAAGGGCTGTTCAGGGTTGAGCAGCAGGTTCAGACCCAGGGCTCAGACCCACTGGCTGCTATTCCACCTTGGTAAAACTGCCTTACTTTCTCATTTCTTAAAAGGATAATAGTGGTGAGACCCTGCTTTAGCTGTGATGGCAAAACCTGCATTTCCAAAGCCAGGTTCTTCAAGCTCCCATCATGCACTGGTGCCAAGACTCACCCCGTCCTGTTGAGGTCTATCAGCCATCTCAGCCTTGCAGGCCTTGCCTCCACTCTTAGAAGCAAATTTCTCATGAACTCAGAGCAGTCAGGCCACAGGCTTTGGGTTGGTTATGGAGATACTGAATTAAACAGACCGTCCTGAATCCTCATGCCGAGAGACCGCAACTGCAGGAGGTAGATCAGGCCTAGAGTGAATGCGAAGATAATTTATTACTCTCTTTTCCGAAATGACAAAGCAGCCGCATGAGCATGGACTGAATGCATGGGATTAGTCTCACGTAGAAGGTTGCGTAACAGGCTGACCTCCCGGGGCCAGAGAAGGCATGCATGCTGGTTTTCGCATACCTCTGTTCATGTTTCCCTCTTTTCTGATTTATGTGGGTTTGGCACTGACTTCCAGCACTTGAATTAAAAAATGTCTGATTTCCGCCTCCCTTAGGCAGCGGATGAGCCACAGAGTCAAGCCGGTGGCAGAAGCTGGATTTCCGAGGAGAAAAGGAAAGCTGTGTTATGTAAACAAGAGACTCTTAATTTGTTGGCTTTATGAGGCAGTCCACTTGCTAATTTTCTTCAGGGAAACTGTGGGGTGCTACTATTTTGAAGGGGAAAACCTTAAGGGTTACTCTGGCAAAAGAACAATTTTTGAAACTTATGCAGTCCTGAAAACCCTAGGTTTTAGGGGAAAGGTGACAGGAGGGATGATGGTAGATATCAATGGGGGTGGGGGGAGTCAGGGAGGAATAGAGAGGGAATTCCCATGAGTACAGGGTGCAAATACCCTGAGCTGGAAGCTCATCCAATTGGATAGAAAAAAAATAGGAGAACTCCCCATACTGGCATCACAGAGCACCAACAGCAAAATTATCTTTAGTGTTAAAAGACAAACTACATGAATCAAGGATCAAACTCAGATCCTCGGGTTTGGCTTCAAGCCCCTTAACCCATTCAGCCCTGTTACCCTTGATTTTGTTTTATTCTCTGCCATCTTGTGTTATTGGGAAGTAAACCTCTATATCACCTTGTTCCTATTTCAGTAGGTATTTCTAGAAAACACTTTTAAAATATAATTTTGACACTGCATGACGACTAAAAAAAGCCGTTTCTCGCTAGTGTGAAGTGTGCACTTGGAATCTGGTTTCCAGTTTGCTTTTCCTAAGTGTTAGAGTTTTGTTCTCAGGGTGATGTGTTCAAAATAGTCCAACCAGAATCCAAACAACACTGTGTCAGAGTACAAGATCTCATAGCTTCCCTGACCCCTGCTGCACTCTTTTGTTCTCCTCTTTCAGCTTGTTTGTTGAAGACGTTGTGACATCCTCCATAATGATTATGTACCTGTGACGTGTTATCATGTGAACTGAAATCAAAAGCTTGAAGAGATTCTAGCATTCATTCCTCTTGGGGCCAGCATTCTTCCCAGGTGGTCCATCAGGCAGTGCATAGTCTACTTGGCTGTTTTCATTTAAGTGTTGCTGGTCCTTTTGCCGTCCCGTGCATAGATCCACTTACTCATTAGGGGTTGGAAGGCAGAGGTGTTGCAGTGGGCTTTGTTTCTAAGAAAGTAAAACAAATTATTATGTCTCTTTTCTTTTGAATTGATTATCCTAGCCAGCAGTCTATTTTATTTAGGAAAGGCAAGTGACCTCTCTGTGTTTTTCCATTTTCAACATAAAAGTTGGATCGCAGGCACAGTCCAAGTAATAAGAACCAGGTTTTTATTTGGTAAATTTATGATCTAAAGGCATTTACTCTTGCTCTGGTCCACTGTTGTAGTGAGAATTTTGTAATTTTGGTTTCTTAAAAAAAATATTATGGGAATATACCAAGTGTGGGGATCTGAGGCTGATTCACAGCAGGTGGCTATAATTTGCCTCATGCTGTAGCAGGGGTGTGGTTTTGCCAGCGGAAGATTGTTTCTTCTAGTGTGTGACGTTTGGAATTCTGGGTACTTTTCAGAGGCTATATAAATGCTAGGGCCCCCAGAGGCAGGGTTGCTGTTGGCTGGTTGGTGGATGGGTGCTGTTGGTTACAGTTTGTCAAGTGGTCCTGTGCCAAAAAGAGAGAGAGAGAAGAAACACGTTAGATATCCTGATGGCAAAGATCAAACTTGCCCGAAGGAACTTGAAGCCCCTAATCAGCAAGAAGTCATCCAATGATAACTTCACCCCCTTTTTCTTCTATCCTTCTATTCTCTCAGGTCTAATGTTAGGGATTTAATAAGGGTGGAGAAGGATGGAAGAGAGGAAAAGGACCCACGAAGTAGCAAACACTGCTAGAGTTCACCTGCTTGTCTATGCTATCACACATGCATGCGCACAATAATTTTTAAATACAAGTAAAAGAATAGTAACCCAAGGAAGCACAGCCTCACTGTGGCTTGGCAGTCACGCTTCTATAGTCCTGGGTGCCACACTTAGAATTTTGCATAGGGATGAGAAGAGAGGCAGAGGGGGAGGTCACTGCTGAGTTCCACGTGTCCTCACTGGAGACTGGCTGTGTCACTGGCAATGTGCATGCCCAGGAGTTGTGTTTGAAACACTAGAGTGTAAATTCTAGTCAGCATCTCTGGAGCAGCCCAGCCCCCATCTGCCAACCCAACCTTAGATCTGAAGGAAATATTTGTTCACCGTGTTCATAGTCCATCTCTTTGAAGCACCTAGACCACATTTAGATGTCAAAGGTCCCCATGTGGCCTGGCATCAGACACTGTTTTTCCTAACAGGGCACGGTCCCTGACACCGAGAGATTCCAGCCCTGAACCATACTTCCCTGCATGGGGGCTGAGCTAGCACAGTGGTCCTTCTCTGTGTGTTCTCATTCATGTAGCAAAGGTTTGGCCTCCTTGTCACTAACCCTTCTGTAAGTCTCGGGATGTTTCTGTTGTTGTTGCTCACCTCTACTGCTTTATTTTGTTTCTGTCTTTGACCAACCATTCCAGCCTCCATTCTTTGGGATTGAGCATTTGATCTCTTTAAATGTTTGAGTGCAGCACTGGGCTAATTGAGTTCCACTTTTCTTTCTTGAGAGATTTGTTTTGTGTGTGTGTGTGTGTGTGTGTGTGTGTGTGTGTGTGTGTGTGTGCAGACGAGAGTACCAGAGTCTCTGGAGCTGGAGTTATAGGTGGATATGAGCCAGCCAACTTGGATCCTAGGAACTGAACTCAGGCTTCTGAAAGAGCAGCAAGCCCCCTTTCCACTGAGCACGTTTTCTCTCTCTCTCTCTCTCTCTCTCTCTCTCTCTCTCTCTCTCTCTCCCTCCCCCCTCTCTCCCTCGCTCTCTCTCGACCTAAGTTCTGCTTTTCTTACCTTCAGCAACATGTATTGAAGATTTTTATTCGTGCTCTAAGTTCTAAGTAATTACCATTTCTGTTTGAATCACTCCGTAGCTATGAATGAGTTTTCTTTGCTTTCAAGTTTTCAAAGGAATGAATTTGGGGGTTCTAATTTGCACTGGTGATTTCTAATCTTCTTGTGCCATAGTAACTCGTGATGTTGGTTTGTTTCTCATCTGAGGGACACAGTTTGAGATCAGTCTCATTATGTAACCAGGCAGGCCTACAACTTGTTACGTAACCCAAGCTAGCCTGAAAAATCTTGATTCTCCTGCCTCAGCCTCTAATCCTGCTGGGATTATAGAAATGTGTTACCACACCTGGTTTAAGATAGCATTTTTTGGAAGCAACTTATGAGGACCTGATTCAAACACCGAGTCATACTTTAGAAGTTTTTCATCGGTTTTCACATGGAAATTTGTATTAAAAAAATGAATCTTCTGCTTGCAAGAGGCTGTATTCTTAAAATAGCAATTACCTTGAGTTGGTTAACTGCCCTGCTCAGTGCTTTCTGCCTCACTGCCTGGCAGAGCTATCGCCCAGCCAGTCACATTCCACCTGGGTCCAAGACAAAGGAATTAGCTGTTAAGGGCTGATTGCTTTGGTATGGTCCATAAAATGTCCCCAGGCCAAGGGAGACATGGCAGCTTCTCTATTGCCACACACAGGCTCGTTTATAGAAGTTAATAATTGTACCGTCCCTGCTTAATTAGCCTATAAAACCTAGGCCTGGGTCTCCTTGACCGTCCTGTCTGTTCCATCATACATTCTTGTCTAAGAATATAGCTAATGAATGTCCTTAAGAAGGACGGAGGGCCTGGCTTCTGTCCCCATGCCCAGCATCAATCCAGATTCTTGCTTCCTTGATCCTGTGGGTGACATTACTTTTCAGAGCTGTGTTTTTTCACCATTCATCTGGGGGCAGAATCCAACTTGTGGTGAGACTCAGCCAAGACAGCCTCAAAATTTATTTTATATTATTTGTGTGTGTGCATGATGTATGGGGGCTCATGCTGTGATGAGTGTGTGAAGGTCAGGGGGTAACATGTGAGGGTCAGCTCTCCCCCTTCACCATGTGGGTCTCAGGGATCAAATTCAGGTCTTCTTGGCAGCAAGTGCCTTTACCCACTGAGCCGTCTCGCAGAACCTGAGTCTCAGATTTTAAAGGTGTAGGTAGAAGACACCTTCGAGGAAGTGTCATTGAGAGTGGCACCAGTGACTCTTGGCCCTCTCCAACCTCCAAAAGAAGTTTGGACGGGGTAGGGCCAAAGGAAACCTTTGGAAATGCTCCCATATCCTTCTCTTCCTTCCCATCAGTGTGGAAGACAGACACCGCAGCCATGACCACCCACGTCACTTTGGAAGATGCCCTGTCCAATGTGGATCTGCTGGAGGAACTGCCCCTCCCAGACCAGCAGCCATGCATCGAGCCCCCACCATCCTCCATCATGTACCAGGTAATGGAAGTAGCAGCTTGCGGTGAAGAGACCTGGATTCTTGAGGTCCTGTAAGAGGACCTGCCCCGAAGTGCAGGGAAGAGGAGGTCGGTATTGAGAAGGTGAAAGGTCGGGAGGCGATGGAGTCCCTGTGCACTCTAGGAGCCCAGTGGAAGGAATAGATTAACTAATAAATGTGTGCCAGGGTCATCCCTCTCCCCCAGGGAGCATTTGTTGATCTGTTCTTGACCCCAAATTCCTTCTGGGCTGTTGCTGTTGCTGCACCACCCAGATTATAGTATCTCTGATCTCATGAATTAAATATCACAATTTACAATCCTCTAGAGTCTGCCTGCGTAATTACTTTTCCTTCATGTGTATGACAAGAGCTCACACAAGTCCACGCGGCAGCGAGTGGCTCAGTGAAGTGGGTCACAGTTGTTTGCTTTGGCCCTAGATTAGATTTCATGATAAACCCCATCCCATCACACACCACTATGACCCTGGCAGGCCTAGTGAGGAGGGCATCCATGCAGCTGGAGGCAGCCTAGCCAAAGCCCCGTGTCTGGGTGTGCTAACCTAAATGCCATGTTAAGAAGGAATGTGTTAATTTGGAATTTGGGGCTGCATTGGATCTTTGTTGCTAAGTCTTGGATGGTCAACTATGACTAAATATAATTACATTTTTTTCATTTCATTCATTAGTTAAATCTATCAGTCACATACTTGAAGATTCATTTCCTCAATTTGATTTATTTATAGCTTTTAACAGAGATAATAATTTTAATTAAACCAAGTATATTTTGATTTTAGTTACAGAGATATTTTCATTATAAATAAAATGAAAAAAGTATAGCATAGAGATTTCTTATAACAATATACCCTTCTCTGTGTATATACACATTTATTGTGGGGCCAGGTATGGGGGCTCACAGCTCTAATCCCATCATCCAGGAGGCTGAGGGAAGAGGGTTGCTGGGAGCCTGAGGCCAGCCTGAGCTACAGAGAGAGCCTCTGCCTCAAAAAGCACAGCAACAAAAACTTCTTCTGTGGATATTGTTGGGCATCAGTGCAGTAATGCCCTCTTATGTTTAAGCGGCTCATGGCCCTTCTTGGCCCATTGTACAGACAGACTGACTGACATCTAGAAGCTTTTGCCAGGTGTTTTCATTGCTTCCACATAGTTTAATTGTAAAATCTGCAGTGCTGTGGTCTGACTTGTGCATCTCTACCCGTGCACCCTGAGGCAAATGTGTCTGAGTGTCTGGATCAAAGCCATGCACACCTTGACTTTCAGCAGCTGTTTAGACTTGCATAGTTAGGTGGAAGTATGATTTCCTTGTATTTGGACGTTTTTTTTTTTTAACAGTCATGATGACATGCATATAGGACAGATTGATTTCAGTGCATTTACCAATGAGTAAATCAGCGAAGTTTATTAGTAAAGCCTTACTAACTGGAATTAAAAAGTGTGGACTCGGAATTAAACACTTCTGAGGCTTGGCTGAGTGAAACTGGTCAGTGATGAGAAGCAGGTACCGTCCTTCTGTCCTCAGCTGAGTTGGAGAGGTCAGGGGTGATGTTTGAAGCGATTGGGGCAGTAGGTTTCCACAAAAAAGCTTGTGGTTTTTGTTGGCAGCTGTTTGTTCCCTAGACACCCAGCCAGCCTGGATGTGTTTTCCAACAACCAAATGAAACGCCCTCCTGTCCCCTACCTCCACAGGCTAACTTTGACACGAACTTCGAGGACAGGAATGCATTTGTTACCGGCATTGCAAGGTACATCGAGCAGGCAACAGTCCACTCCAGCATGGTAAGTTTCCGTGACCCATGTGTGCAGGCAGAGGAACCATGGGAAGCTTCCCGTGCCTGGCCTGTGCTTACTCCGCCTCAGTCAGCTGGCCTGTGAAAGTCCATTCTGAAAAAAAAAGTCCCGAACAAAAATGACAGCGACATGGCTTTGGAAGACAGCTTTTATTGACTCGAAGAAGCTGCTGGCCTACATCATTCATAAATGGAGCCAGTTGTTTTCCTTTCTAGCCTTTGACCCTAAGAGGGCAGAATTCTCTTCCATCTTCAGGGAAATTTGCAGAATTCGAGATTCCTCTTTTGTGGGCCCCGGCATGTGTTCCCTTGGTCTGTTCTCACTGTATGAGATGTGTTCTACAAACCCAACTCATTCATTAAGTATTCTGTCCCTGCTGTGAGCTGAGTCTAGAATTAGAATGGGGCCAGTTTCAGTTCTTGGTGAGTCAAGGGGAGAAGAGACAGTTCAACCAAACACTTCTTCTATGCAGCTACTTCGGGTTCATTGTCTCATATACTCCTCACACAGACCCTGTGAGTGAGGCTGGCGATTGACAGCCCTGATATTTCAGTTGGCCAACATTGGAGCCTCTTGGGTGATAAGAAATTAACTCAGGGTCTCCCAGCTGATGGGTGGCAAACTTAGGACTCTCTGGTGACAAAGTTTGGCCCTCCAAACTATTTTTGCAGGTAAATAAAAATGTATAAACATTCAATATTGTGATGAAAGTTTGGAGTTCAGTTTCTGAAGGGGCCTCGAGAAGACCACAGGAAGCTTGATGGAGGAAGCCAATTTTAAATTGTAGTACAGCCTTGTGAGAGGCTAATGATAGCGTGTGTGTGCACACTGCTCTTTGAAATGGAGGCAGGGCAATCTGCTTCATGATGTCATCAGAACCTCATAATAACCCAAGGGCTTGCAAAGGTATCATTATACCTATTGTAGAGATGAGAAGACTGAGGTCTGGAGAAATTAATAAGCAAGTTGTTCATGGTCCTACAACCAGTAAGTCCTTGCATGAACCTGGGAACAGTCCTGACCTCTTTCTGTGGTTCTCTCCACATGGGGTTGAAGCAGTCAGAGATGAGATGGGGAGGGGGATGGTAGGTGGACATCAGCAAAGACAGAATTCTCAGACTGCCCAGAAGTGGAGTGTGTGTGTATTGTATATAACATTTATGGAGAATGAGGTAAGGGCTCCATACATGGAGATTATATTTGATGCCTGGGCCACCATAGCAAAAAACCACGACCGGTTTAAACGATGGGTGTTTCCTTTTCACAGCTCTACAGGGTGGGGCTCCTTGAGCAGGTCAGTGGGGCTGCTATCTCCACATGTCTGTTTGGCTACCCTGGCTCTTTCCTCACAAACTCCTGTGTGTCAGATATCTCTATGTATACCCGAGTTCCCTCTTTTCTATAAGGATGACAGTCGAAATGAGTGACAGCCTGTCCTCATGATGTCCTTTGAGCTTCATCACCTTTCAAAAGATCCCACCTAGAAATAGTCACAGTCTCACGTACCTGGTTTGGGGCTAGAGCATGTGGATGGTGTGAGGAGGGGGAGGGACACAGCTGAGCCTGTTACCAAGGGCTTTCATTCATTTAATGACAGCCCAGTTCAGAGGCTGGATCTGTTGTTTGGGTGCCTTCCTAGATCACACAAAGCCCCGACTTGAGCACCAGCATCAAATAAACTGGATGTGGTGTGGCAAAAGCTTTGTAATCCCGACTGTGATGGTAGGAGGATCAGAAATTCAAGATCAGTTTCTCAGTTAGTTACATGGGGAGCTTGAAGCTAACTTGGACTAGGGATTCTGTCACAAACAAATAAACAAACAAAAAATATCAATGGGCAGTGTTCAGCCATGGGGGAGAGGGGACCCGAACTCTGCTTCAGTCATGCTTATTCCTGGGTTACTCCTGGAATGAGCTATAAAGAGGAGCGAATGGAACACCTAAGCTGGATGACACGCTCCAAATGATTGTTGGCTGGAGACATTAATGGGAGTAGTGACCTTAGGGGCGAATCTGCAATGTACATGAGAGACACTGAATGTCATCTTCAGCTGGCAGAATGATTCTTTGGGGTGATGGGAAGCAGAACCATGCAGACTGAGGCGTCCCAGAAGTACGAGGTCACAGGCTCAGATAGTCAAATCTGAAGGACAAGCTGGCACTGAACATGATTCCATTTGTTTTCTGATGCTGATGTGACAAATTGCATAAACCTGTTGGCATGGCTGGTAGAGTGCTTGCCTAGCATTCACAGAGCCCTAAGTTTGGTCCCCAATACCACATAAACTGGATTTGGTAGTGGATGTCTGTAACCCTCAGCTACCTAGAAAAAGTAGCCTGGGATACTTATCTCTTAAAATAAATAGGTAAATGTGTTATGCAATATACACATATAAAAGATGGCCCGAAGAAAAACCAATAATTAAAAGTTCCCAAGGTCCCACCCAGAGCTCTTCCCACCATGCCATCTTGGCCTCTGTTTTCTGGGCTTGTTATGCAACAACCCTGGCTGAACTGTCCAGAGGGCAGAGTGCACATCTTGGTTCTCAGGCCTGCTTCTAGCACTGACACACAGAGCCTGGGACCTGAAGATGCTTACTGCAGCCTTCGTTAACTGAATGAAATGATGCCTGCTGTGGACATTTGGGTGCTGAGAAAAGCCACGTGTTCTTTATGTTACTGTCAGTTCTACTTTTAGACACGTGTTCCCAAGCAGAAGAGAAAGCAGGAGGCCCATGGGTTGGTCTGTGTCATTTCTGATCTGGGGACAGCATGTTACAGACTTCTTAATTAAGAATTGAAACTGTTGCTGTTGAATAGAATTACAAGAACTAACAAACTCCAAATTAAATTGGATTCTACCCTAATGATGTATTATGATGTGGAGATGATAAATTGATTTAAAATTTAAAGTTCAGTTTTCCCTAGATAACATTTACAAGACGAGGAAGCATAATACTAATTCTTTTCTCCTAATATTTTTTGAGGTATGCTTTCCATAACCAGAAACCATTTAAAATACAGGCATCAATATTTTAATCGTCTTCACCATGTCATACAGCTGTCACTGCCATCTGATTCCATCACCCCATACAGGCACCTTAGACAATTAGCAGCCACATTCAGGTCCTCTCTCCGTGGGCTCCCATCAACCACTCTGTGTCCTTTAGGGCTGTCCCTCTTTTGGGTAGTTCATCCAAAGGAATCGTAGAATAGACGACTTTCATCTGGCTTTTACCGAAGTTCTTATTAGATCAGTTATTCTTAGATGTAAAGTGCAGGTGACTTGTCTGGGGACTTGGGGACCTCACTGGAATATAGGTTCTTAATACGCAGGCCTAGACAGCCCAAGAGCTGACTTTGTCAGCAAGCCCCCGGGGCCACACTGCTGTTGCCTGCCACAGAACACATACTGGGCGGTCCAGCTGAGAGCCTGGAGAAGCCCGTGCCCCCAGTGTTAGATCTCCCTGATAAACGTGCTTTGCCCTTTCAGAACGAAATGCTGGAGGAGGGACACGACTATGCCGTCATGCTGTACACCTGGCGCAGCTGCTCCCGGGCCATCCCGCAGGTGAGACCGTCCTTGCCGTGCCTCTCTTGTCCTTCAGCGAGGCGTCCCTGCCCCTCCAGTGCCCCTCCAACCCGAGCCCAAGCCAGAGGCTGTGTTCTTCAGGTGGCAGGAGGTGAATCTGAGCCTCTGACTCAAAGAGTGTCCCGTAATACTACTAACAAGGTCCACGCCCAGGGTCTTAAAAAGTTTTCCAGCGCACGCTCTGCACGGTATTTTATTTCAAGAGCAGTATATGTCTCCTGCCAACCAGGCTGTTGCAAAGGACTTGAAGTAGCAAGCACGCTATCTCCTCACACCTCCACCCAAACCCAAACCCTCACTGCAGATGGTCCTAGATGTTTTCATTGGCACGAACATATTTTATAAATCCATATTGTTACCACAGAACCGTGTTGTTTCTCATTTTTTTTACACCGTCTTGGACTTGTTGAAAATACAGATTTTTTTAAATTATCATTGGCATTTTTTGTTCAATTAGTGGATTCCATTGTAACACAATCAAGAAACCACGTGCACATGAAGGACATAGAAGGTACCTTCTCTCTTCCTTTTGACCCTCATATGTAGGGACAACTATTATCAATAATTTTTTTGTACTTTTCGTAGTTCTCTAAGCCTGATTTTGTTGTTTTCAACAATTGATTTTCTTAAAAGTTTTTACTACATTTGTTTATTCTCTCTTGGGAGGGTATATATGCGCCATAGCATGCATATGGCAGTCAGAGGACAACACGTAGGAACTGATTCTCTCCTATTTAGACCATCAGGCTTGAAGGCAAGTACCTTTGTCTGCTGAACTGTCATCTGGCCAAAGGGACCAATCCGGAGCTGTGGTTTCACTGGCAAAGCATTGCAAAACATACCCAGGGGCTTAGGGCCTGAGACCTGGATTCTCTCCCCAGCAGTATAAAAAACAAACAAAAATAAAACAGCCATCAAATCCTACTTAACTCTTCTGTGACGTTTTTGCCCATCCGCTGTGACGGCCACCTTTTCACAGTAATTCCAGCTTTATCCACCTTAGTCCTCCTAATGTTTGTAATGGTGGAGTATGATTGTATCCGTTTGTCCATTGAATGACCCACTGGCATTTATCTAGCCATTGACAGGCATAAAAGGCCATCCTCGACCAATGTATGTGTTACCCACCTGTAATCCCAGCACCTAGGAGGAAGAGGCAGGAGGATCTTGAGTTTCAGGCCAGCATGGGCTCCATAGTGAGTCACTGCCTACAGAAAAATAAAATCATGCATTGCCTCATTCCACAGCCAGCCAGACTGTTGGCAGGCTTGGTGTGCGTGCGTGCGTGCGTGCGTGCGTGCGTGCGCGTGTACGTGTACGTGTGTGTGTGTGTGTGTGTGTGCGTGTATGTGTGTGTGTGTGTTTTCAAAGAACATCTGGCATGTGATACTGCAGTTACTACAGATACTGCAGGGGAAATGGGTCTCTGGATGGCACAAGCTTAGGTCAGCCATCATTAACATGGAAATGGCCAGGGAGCTTGCTCCAGGCATAGAGCGTAACAAGGGCAGACTGGTTCATCGTCTTATGCATGAGGAAAAGGGGTGAGGACATTGCAGTTCTCCATACATACATGTATAGCCAACCGCAAAGGCACAGACCAGCAGGAAAAGGAGGAGGACCCAGTGTTGATCAGCTGGCTGATCAACTGCAGCCGTTCTCCAGGGAGCCCTTCTGGGGCCCGTCAGCTTCCACAGCCCCCTCTCACTAGGGTGACCATATCTATCGTCACCCACAGCAGGATGCCACGTATGAACTATTGGCGGGTCATGCTCACGAGACAGGCCAGATATCTGGGAGCCTGAATGACGAACCCTGCCTCTCACTTCTCACAGGTGAAGTGCAACGAACAGCCCAACCGGGTAGAAATCTACGAGAAGACCGTGGAGGTGCTGGAGCCAGAGGTCACCAAGCTCATGAAATTCATGTACTTTCAGGTGAGTGGGCCAGAGAGGGGTCCACAGCAGAAGGCTCATGAAGACCCCCCCAGCCTTCCCGCTAGACTTTGCTGCTGTGTCATTTTTTTTTTCCATCCAGCTAATATCTTTGGGAGCCGCCTACACCCCCGTGGGTGAGCCAAGCCAACAGGTGTCCCCACGTCCACAGAAGGTGGAATATATGTGTGCTTGGAGGGCAGAGCTACAAAAACACACGGTAGTTTTTTAGGATACGGTAAGGGCATGAGCAAAATAAGATTCATAACAGTTATAGGTTGCAGAGTATCTACAGGTAGTTGCCGCCTTAGACATGGTGGCATGTAACTGTGACCTGGGTCACAAGAGAGGCAGGGGTGTGATGGTCATGAGAAGGTCTCCAGGAAGATGGTTGCACAAAGCCCCAAGGCCTGTAGGAATCAGTGTGTTCGAGAAATGGGGGACAGCAACAGGGTGGGCTGTAGAACAGTAAAAGCAAGGTATCGGTCCAAGGAGAAGCTAGAGAGGGGACAGGGACCCAGTAAGATGGTTCTGAGAGCCTTGAGCTTTGGATTTGATGATGTGAGCTGACCTGAAGTTTTAGGAAATCTGGACAAGAGGTAGGAAATGCTTGGGGTGGGGAAGAGGCTAAGGGAGAGGAACATAAGGACATTACCAGGAGACTATTCAGGAGCTCTGGAAGAGCCACTGTTTAGAGGAGGAAGGGCAGGGAGAGGGCTAAGGGTCTTCACAGGTGACAGGAAGGCTAGGTGGTAGTGTGAGGGGACAGGAAGTGTGAGCAGCCACTTTCTTCCTGGGGTCCCATTGGCAGCTGCAAGGGTGGCAGGATGAACACTTCAAAGCCGGCCTGTACCCCACACTGGGTGACAGAGCATGCCCTATCCGTTCCCTTCAAACCTGGAGGAGCTGAGCTTCATTCATAGACTCTTGGCACTGGCCAGGACCCACCCTGTACTCAGCATCTAGGAAAGAGCTGGGGCTGCACTGGGGCGGTACTTCAGCCTGGGCAAGGAGCAATGCCAGGTCAAATCCTGTGTTTTTCCCTCCTCCTCTTCTTCCTCTTCCTTCTTTTCCTCCTTCCCTTCCTTCTCTTTGTCCTCTTTTTCCTCTTTCTTTTCCTCCTCTTCCCTTTCTTCTTCCTTCCCCACTGTGGCTCACTGCCCCATCATGACTATAATACCTCCTTCTTGCTTTTGAACTAGTAACAATTTTGTTTTTGAGATGAAATATTTACTCCTGTGAGTCATCCAGGTAGAGTGAACATGCCAGCACGCTTTCATGTCTTCACAGAATTGTGTGTTCATCTCATAATCTGTTTTAAAATATCTTTACTCCTCTGAAAGAAACCTCTTGAGCCATTACCCCATACTACCCCAGCCCCCTCTCCTTCAGCCCCAGGCAACTACTGAACTACTTCTTTTTTAATCTCTGTGGATTTCCTGTTTGGACATTTTCCTACAAATGAAATTATACAGGATGTGACTTTTCATGTCTGGCCTCTTGCAGTTGGCAGGGTATTTTTGAGTGTCATCTATACTGTGGCAGGTAACAGAATCATTTTTTTTTTTTTTTTAATAATGGAACACCATGTTACTGAACACATACCCTGTAGTTTCAGCCATTCACCTTGTGATATGTGGGTGTTTTCCCCTTTGGGTCTGTTAGGAACAAATGCTGAACATTTGTAAGAGCTTCTGTGTTACTGTTTCTCTTGGATTGTGAGCTGGTTAGTTAGTTGTCATCCTGACAGGAGCTGGAGTCATATGGGAAAAAAATCATTGACTGATGAAATTCCTCTGCTGATTAGCCTGTAGGTGAGTCGGGAGGGCCATTTTCTTGATTAATGATTGGTGTGGAAGGGCCCAGCTCACTTCGGGCTGGGCCATTCCTAGGCAGGTGGTCCTAGGTTGTGTTTGAGGCAGGCTGGCCAAGCAATGGGTCCTCCATTGTCTCTGTTTCGTTCCCACCTCTAGGCACTTGTCTTGAGTTCCTGTCCCAACTTCCTTCAGGGTGGACCTTAATCTCTGAAATGAAATACATCTTTTCTTCCCCAAGTTGCTTTTGGTCACAGTGTTTATCACAGCAGTAGACAGCAAACTGGGACCAGCAGGTTCCTGTGAGTAGAGTACTGGATCATTTAGTGAATCCACCTTGGATGTCCAAGTGTCCTAACTGCCCCTGCAGTCTGCTGTCACCTCTGCAGCTACTTATGATACAGGCCATACTACCGTGCTAGAGCCCCAGCAACCCCAGCTCACTCGGGGTCAAGGGAAAAGCTCTCATAAAAACCCTTAAGAGCTCACCACCCCACTAGGGTTGACTTTGCTCTTTCCCTGCACTCGCTCTGCTCAATCCAAGCCTCAGGGCATTTGCACTGGAAGCTCCTTTTCCTACACTTATCCCTATCTTTCTCCTTCTCTTTCCAATCATTTCCCTAAAGAAAACATTTCTTGGTGATTTCAGTCTTTCTTTCTAGATGGGCAATTCCTCTCCTCCTCCTCCTCCTCCTCCTCCTCCTCCTCCTCCTCCTCCTCCTCCCTCCTTATTTCCACAAACAGAAGCAGCTTTATTTCTTCCTTCCAGAATATGCGTAAATTCTATTTTCTCTATTATCGAATTAGCTAGCATGCCCCTGGATCTCTTCTCCTGAGCGGGTCAACCTTACCTGGCCACAGAGGAAGAGGATGCATGCAGTCCTGAAGAGAATTGATAGTGTGTGGCCTTTAAGTTAGTAAGGGAGGAGAGCTCACCCTTTCTGAGAACTATGGGAAGGGGATAGGGGGAAGAAGGAGGGAGGGTGGGACCATGAGGAGAAGAGGGATGTACTACAGCAGTGCCTGATAGCATAGTGCTAATGTCAGGGTCCTAGGAAGCTGACACATGAAGAAATTCAAGGCCTACCTGAGAAGATTTAAAGATTCCAACTAAGATTGAAAGACAAAGAAAAGCTTAAGATATAGAGGTGTGCACCCTGGTAGAGTGCTTGACTAGCATACACAAGGCCCTGCATTCAGTTGGGGTGAGAATGAGAGATATAAAGACAGAGACAGAGAGGCAGGCATGCAGGCAGACAGACAGACACACACACACACACACACACACACACAAACAGAGCATAAAACTTTAATATTAAGGGAATGTGTTGTTGGCAAGTAATTGCAGAGCACTAGACAGACAATTCTTTAGAGCCCTTTCTCAGTCTCCATTCCTTCTTCATTGCCTGCCATATCAAGTATGAAATTCTGCTGCAAAGAATTTGTTATCTGTTACTTAATTGCCGTATCTGAGCCTTAGAGCAGTTTTTGCTCTTGTTTTGTTTGTTTGCTTTGGTTTGCTTGGTTGGTTGTTTTATTGGTGTTTTGTTTTGTTTTTCGAGACAGGGTTTCTCTCTGTAGCTTTGGCTGTCCTGGACTCGCTTTGTAGACCAGGCCAGACTTGAACTCACAGAAATCTGCCTGCCTCTGCCTCCCCCCAAGTGCTGGGATTACAGGTGTGTGCCACTGTGCCCTACTTTTCTTCTTGTTTTAGTTTCTGTTTGACCTCAGACCTTAGGATGGCTGCATAGTAGATAGTAGATGCGCAATAATCACTCGCTTGTTGGATGGACCTCTGTCTCTTTCCCTGCATGTCACACATTGGGAATTCAGTGCTTCTTAGAAAATGTGTTTTCGACTAATTCATCAGATAAACTCACTTGGAACAGGTCCCAGCACGCTGTCACAATTAGCTTTGGGAGCGGGAACATGGCAGATATGTCCTCATTTCTCCAACTTGACTCTAGTGAGGACCCCAGGGAAACCTTGACCTACTCTTCCCTGAGAGCATACTGAAGTCCCCCAGGCTGCCCATCCTCACTACCTGCCCCTCTGTCTCCAGCGCAAGGCCATCGAGCGCTTCTGTAGTGAGGTGAAGAGGTTGTGCCATGCAGAGCGCAGGAAAGACTTTGTCTCCGAGGCCTACCTGCTGACCCTGGGCAAGTTCATCAACATGTTCGCAGTCTTGGATGAGCTAAAGAACATGAAGTGCAGCGTCAAGAATGACCACTCTGCCTACAAGAGGTCAGGAGCCCTCCCTGATCCCTGGACCCTTCTCACAGATTTAGTCCCTGCTGTGACCTTCTTCAAACCACAGCTGCCATGTCAGGGTAATCTGAGGGAGACAGTTCCGAGCCGGGGCTTCATAAGAATTGGTGTTGGCCAGGCTTGATGTCCCAAAATGGAATCCGGTCCTCTCTTCCCCGCCATCTGGGGAACAGAAGCAATTTCTGCCATGCCTGCCTCATGGTGGAAAGATTACCATAATGCAGTGTCGTTGTCACTCTCTGTGAGAAACAGAGGGCACCACTTATGCCCCAGAACTGCAAAACCCGGGCATACCTTCCACATGCATTTGGAAAGTCCCAGCCAAGACTGCTGTCACTCCATCCTGCTAATCCCTCTGTCAGGCACTGAGTGGGATGGAGGGGATCTGAGTGGATGGATAAATTAGGGGTCCATGTCAGCATTAAAAAAAAAAAAAGGAGTGGGTTGGGAGGGAGTCCTTCATCTCCAAAAGCCAAGATATGGCCACCTAAAGACAGGGACCTCTGAAAAGTGACAGATCCCCGGGGAGTTGGTTGAAGCTCAGATGAGTGCCACAATGTCTGTGAATACCTCCTGGAAGGGTTGTCCATATCACTGGCAAAGAACGACCTTATCTATCCTGCCACACCTCCCTGGGTTTCAAGATAATTACAGAGAGACGAGGGCAGATGTGAAACCTGGGTTGCCCAATAGTTAGAGCCCATCTCAAAGCCAGCTCAGGCTATCACAGATGGCCACCAGCACAGCATCCTTCCCCATACACTTCCTGTTATGGCCCGCCACTCCCATCATGACCACAGTGGACATCTGCATCGTAAACCAGGCGGGCACGTTGCCTCCATTCTCACAGGTTATTGGAACATGAGCTGTGCCTCTCTGGGTTACGTTGGGACACTGTTAAGGCCAGCCTGTGTTCTCTCTGTTCTTCCTCTTTCCATCTGTCGCCTAGTTAGGCTGGAGGGCCTCATGTTGCCAGGCAGTGCCGTGCATGAGAATGTGGAGGCAAACCCAGATCTCTGATCTGTATTTGCTACTTGGAAGGCTATGGCAGGAGAATCAGCAGCTGGGCCTAGCAGCACAGGATTCTAACCCTTGGTGGTTTTCATCAGTTCAAGGCCTAGGCTGTATCACAAGTTCATGGCCACCTTGGAAAACGTAGCAGTACTCTATCTCAAAATGAAAAAGAGTAAAAAGTCTGGGGACACAGCTCAGAGGTCAGCATGCACAATGCCCTGGGTCCAATCCCTGGTCCTACAAACCAACCCCAGAATAGGGTGTTGAGATTTTCCTACAATGAACAGAATGCATGAAAAAAATGAACCTTCCTGCCTTTGGTTGTTCTACAGGACACATTGGGCAGCTTTCCTGGAGGTCCTAGCCCAGCTCAAGGACACTGCCCACTCTCTGTCTCATTATTCCTTCCTGATTTCCATTAAATTCCCAGGGATTCCAGTGATTTTTGTTTGTTTGTGCTTTCACGCCTTCCAATTCCCAACAGCTGCCATGAGGGTATAAGCAGCCCCAGAGAAAGGACTGCCAAACACATTTTCCTTTGACCTTGGGCTCACCTGCAATGGCCAGAGCCTCGTGACATCAGGACAGTGTCTCTTGGCAGCTGAGTGGGAGTGGACTCCTGTGTGCCCTGTCAGCGCCTCCTTCTCTGTGTTTCAGAGCGGCCCAGTTCCTGAGGAAGATGGCCGACCCCCAGTCCATCCAGGAATCTCAGAACCTGTCCATGTTCCTGGCCAATCACAACAGGATCACCCAGGTGAGGCCAGGTTCCTTGTTGGTCCTGCTTGACATCCCAAGGAAGCAAGGCTAGGGCTGGAGGCTGAGAGGACTTCAAGGGAGAGCACACAGGCCCAGTCCACATCTGTCTCCACTGCCCTTCATGAGAGCCGGCAACCTCTTCCTGTTTGCTTCTCTGGAAGCTTCCCAGACAGGACTGTGGGCCCCATATCATCCTCTGGGTTGAGAACAAGCCTGCCCAGGAGCCATTATTACACTTCGGGCAAAGTCAGAGATTCAGTTTACTCATCCGTAAAGTGGGTGTATTATTTGGAGACTATAATGAAAAAATAAATGAAGCATGTACCTAAGGCCCTCGGAACCTAACCAAGAGCCTGAGAAAGCACAGCTATAGTCACTGCCACCCGTTTGCCAGGGTACATCCCCTGGGCTTCTCTTCTCCCATTGTGCCTGTCAGAGCCGGACCTATCTTACTATCAATCAGTTCAGTAACAGGAGTGTCTGTGGGACCCAGGGCAACACAAGAGGGACCCTGATGCTCCCCCATCCTCACACCTATCTCAAAGGCCTGGTGGTAGCAAGGCATTTTTTTTTGGTCACTGTAGAAGGCTATGGAGTCGCAGCCCCCTGCTGTCTGTGAAGAAGTCCAGCGCATCGCTGGGTATCCACTGGGTATCATGTAGTGGCCCGGTTTGTCTCTCTGGGAGAAAGGGATACAGAGAAACCTTCCTTCACAGGAACTAGATCCTATCAGGAAGGAGAATCCTACCCACCTCCCATTACTCCTTCCCTGGGTGCGTCTTCTCCCTGCCTTTGTCTGAAGAAGCCGCATGGAGAAGCCTACACCCTCAAAACTAAGGGGCAATTACCGCAGACCCGATCGCTGTAAAGCCGAGCTGCCCAAGAGTACACCCAGCCCTCAGAACTGAGTTAGCATGGGAGACTCAGGGGGTTAGGTCCCTGCTGTAGGAGGTGAAGAGGAACTACCCACCAGTGTCTAGCAGCAAGGGGCAGTCAGGTATCATTGAAAGCTGGCTTTGAAAGCACCCTCCTCCTGGGACCTCAGTGGGGACCAAAGCGCTCATTTAGTCTGCCCAGCTCTGGGCCTTCTGGGTGGTGCAGGAGGATGTTTGCTCTGCCTGACCAGCGGGTGGCGCTGTTTAGTGTCTTCACCAGCAACTGGAAGTGATCCCAGGCTATGAGGAACTGCTGGCCGACATTGTCAACATCTGTGTTGATTACTATGAGAATAAGATGTACCTGACGCCCAGTGAGAAACACATGCTCCTCAAGGTAAAACTTCCCCACCTCCCACTGCTTCCTTCCGTGCATGCATGTGTGTATGTGTGTGTGTCTGTCTGTGTGGAGACTAATGGTGTCAGTTTTCAGGAGCCACCCATCTTCTTTTCTAAGGGATTATTTGTATTATTTTAAACAGGCATGCGAAGGCCAGAGGTGTCAGATACCCTGGAACTGCAGATACGGTCTATTGTGAGCTGCCCAGCATGGTTGCTGGGAAGCAGACTTGGGCCGTCTGCAAGGGCAGTAACTGTTCCTAACCCAGCTTCTTTTCTCACATACTGTTTCTCCCTGGGACCTGGGCTCACCTGTTCGGCCTGGATGGCTGGCCAGCAAGCTCAGGATGCTGCCTTCCTAGCATTGGGGTTACACGTGTACTGCCGTGCCAGTTTTTACGTGGGTGCTAGAGATCGAATGCAGGTCCATGCTTGCGCCACAAATATGTAACTGACTGGGCTATCTTATCCACTTAAAATTGTGACTATGGTCTTCCTTGAGTCCTCTCCCTTTGCTTTGTTATGCCATGCACACATTGCAAACGCCATTAAGGATGTTTCTGCAATGCCATCCTTAGTTGATGCCAAGAAACCTATTTTATAGAAATATTATTTTTTTCACACATCTCCTATGGTTAGATATTTGACCGCACTGAAAACCCTGATAGCATAGCCTTTTGTAGAGCTAAACTTCCTGATAGAGAAATTCCTAGCTTATAGGAAAGGCAGAACCCCTGCAGCTGCTCATTTACCTAAAGGGACTAGCAAATGGGCTGAAATATTAAGAGTATCAGCACCTGCAAGCAGAGGCTTGCTCTTGAACTCTGTCCCCCATGGCTCCCCTCAGGACCCTTTGCATTGCTGTTTTCCTGGGGAATTTTATGGTTGTTTATTATTATTCCACTGTCTGGGTCTCAACACCTCTGGTAAGCAACAAGGCCCTTCCTTTCCCAGAGGATCTGTAATTGCATATTTGGATGGTAGATCCTAGGCTAATTCCTTTATAGATAGTCTCTGCGCCTTACTTGGTTTCTAACCTCTCTCTGTCTCTGATTCCTCATCTTTAGAATAACATATGGCACCTAAGCGTTTTGTGGGAGTTGAAACCGGACTTGTTAAACTCTAACCACAGCCACTGGCTCAGGGTGGCTACTATAATACTATATTAAATTTCTTATTGAAATTAGGCCCCATGTTTCCTGTTTTAAGTTGGAGATGCTCATGCTTTTGAAATAGTGTGTGTGTGTGTGTGTGTGTGTGTGTGTGTGTGTGTGTGTGTGTGTCCCTACAAGATGTCAGAGAATTTTGTGCTTGGCCCTTTCTCACTCTAGGTGATGGGCTTCGGCCTCTACCTGATGGATGGAAATGTCAGTAACATTTACAAACTGGACGCCAAGAAGAGAATCAACCTTAGCAAAATTGATAAGTTTTTTAAGGTTAGTAATGGGGTCTGGGGCCGGACAGGGGACAGAATTGCTGGAAGCTAGGTTATAGGGGGAAGGAAGGAATGAAACTAGCTAGAAAGCTGTGAAGATGCTTCTCTAGAGATATTCAGGGAAAAGGCAGATGGAGCACAGGCCCCAGCTGCTCTCAATAAAGTAAGGTCTGCTGCCCACATGGGGTTGATGCCCAGCCTCAGGACTCCGCTGCCATTCCACCGAAGGCCTTGTAAGTCTTCCCGCATGCTCTTTTTCCCTTTCCTGAAATCTTTCACCTAAAGACAGAATTGTATCTTAGAAGATAATACCTGTGTTAATTTTCATTACACCCCACAGCTCGTGAAAGTAGAAACTAAAGGAAAAAAAAGTGTGTGTATATACATGTATGTATATATATAAAACATTTACTTTTATCTTCTGGGTGTTGTGCCTGAATGTGTCTGCACCATGTGTGTTCAGTGCCCACAGAGACCGGAAGAGGGTGTTGGATGCTCTGGAACTGTAGTTTGGTTGTGAGCTGCCATGTTGGTACCTGGCATCAAACCCTGGTCCCCTAGAAGAGCAGCAAGTGCTCTTAACTGCTGAGCCATTTCTCCATCCCTGAAACACTAGAGTTTAAGTGGATTCATGTTCCCCATTGACAGGCCACTTGCCTGCATCACTTAGGCACTTTAACTCACCAGCATTCTGCTTGAGCACATCCATCCAAGCACCTTTGTGATCTGATTACTTGGCTCCAAAACATTCTAATAAAAACTTGCAGGCAAACTTTTTTTTTAGCTCTTTGGAGTTTGAATAAGGAGTTGTCACACCTGCAACTGAATTCTCATTCTGACTTTACTCTGTATGTTGGGTCCTACAGATGTGAGCTCCACCCTAAGGGGATGTTGTGTTGTGGAAGATACTGGGTGAGGTTTAAGAGAAAATGTGAGTCCTCAGAGGGGTCTTTTGGCTTGGTTTGTTAGCTTTTCTCCAGAGCTGCCGCAGATGAAAACTGTCCCCATGTTGGGAAACTGCAATGTCCTCCTTTAGGCGGAAGAAAGGAAGGACGGAAGGATGGACAGATGGACCAGGCCTACACAAGGCCAGGGTTTAATCTGGCTCTCCTGCCTTCTAACTGGGTAGCTTTGGGAAAGGCATAGACTAGGCATCCTGGAGCCGAGGGTTCTGATCCTGGCTCTCACTCTATCTGGTCTGACTTCCTGTACAGACTAAGCTTGCTTTGAGTCTATCCCTGTGCCAGTACAGTGAGAAGGGGCAGTATTGACTCCATGTAGTGATATGTGGATGGAGATAGTAGGAGGTTGGGTGGTTGGATTTTACAAGCAGTTAGGATTAAACCCAGGGTCTTGCCCATACAAATTAACTCCTCTATTACTAGTTATATCCCAACCTTTTGCTTGTTTGTTTGTTTGTCTGTTACTTTTATTTTAAGGTAGTCTCACTGTGTTGCCCAGGGAGCCTGTGAGCATCAGATCATCTTGTGTCATTAACATCTAGCATCACAGACCTATGCAGCCAGGCTCAGCTGAGATAGTGTTTGCAAAGTGCCTGGTGCGGTGCAGGAAAGACAGACATGGGGAGACAGAAGCCTCCCTCCCACACATCCTGGCCTATCTGCACTTTAATGTTAGATATCAGGTGGACAGTCTCCAGAAGACCACCCCAGGTAGTAGCCGTCTGCCATCTGCTCCTAGTCTAATTCGGAGCAGCAGAAATCTTCTGAGCTGTAGAAAGGACCCTGTACAGGGAGGCCAGCCACCTGATCCTCTGCCTCACCTATTCTCCTATGTGACCTTGGACAAGTCACTTTGCCTTTCTGGTGTCGGTGGTTGCTTGAAGTATGCAGTTGGTTGGAGGCAGGGGAAGGGCCTGTATGCTGGCTGGGGTTTCTCCAGATGCCAGGACCCCATGGCAAAAGAATTCAAGCTCCTGGCCCCAGGTGCACAGCGAAGCCTTTTACCCCGACGGTTCGGCAGCCCAGCCCTGCCGGTGGCATCTCACACCCTCTGTTTGCTTCCTTTGCAGCAGCTGCAGGTGGTGCCTCTTTTCGGCGACATGCAGATAGAGCTGGCCAGATACATTAAGACCAGTGCTCACTATGAAGAGAACAAGTCCAAGTGAGTGCCTGCCGTAATGTCTCTCGGCTCCTGTGAGGACGCCCAGCCCGGGCAGGGAGCTGAGGGACCACTTCAGTTCCTCCTCCCTCCCCAGAGCCCTGGGCAGGTGGATTGCCGCAGAACAGTAGTGCCAGGAGGGGTATAGTGAGGGTGCTCTGAGCTCTTTTGCACCAGCTCTTTGCTGCCAGGCTCGAAAGGGCCCAGAGCACAGCCACGGCCCCTGTGCTGCTCTGCGGGAAGCCCCTCCCCTCAGTGGGGACAGCAGGAGTCTACTGATGGTCGCAGTTGTCACCCTGGTTCAGGTCTCTGCTGAGGTTTTGTGACTCTTCAGTAAGTACGGGGTTACCAGTGTGGCTTGGATGGTTCCAGCTGTGACATTGGTTGGTTACCTCCCCAAAGAGACTATGGCCTATCCTTGTGGTTGGTCCTGGCCATCTTTGGTATCTTTCTGAGGTTTTCAATGCTGCATTGAACCCAGGGTCTTATGCATCCTGGGCAAGCATCCTACAAAACTACCTTTGGGGGGGGAGGGTGTCAGGGTCTCATTGAGTTAAACTCAGTTACCTTGAATTTGTGATTCTCTTGCCGAAGCCACTCTTAGTAGCTGGGATTAAAATGATACCAGCAGAGCCCAGGTATGGTACAAACACCTATAATCCCAGCAGTTGGGAGGTGGAGGCAGGAGGATAGGAGCTCAAAGCCTGCCTTAACTTAGAAGATACCTGAAGAGCGGTCCCTGACCTACAACCTACATCTACCTGGAGCCCCAGAGATGGGTCCTTGGGGAAATTCAGACCATGTCTGGAAGTCTTAGAGAGAGATGCTGGTTAGGCAGGTATCAGTTTACAACCAGGCAGAGAGTCAAAGGCCTGGGCAGCAGTGCCCCCTGCACCGAGTAAGCTCAAAATGAAAAACTAGCAGAGTCTAGGCCAGAGGGAGGTGAGGGACGTGTCACTGCTCATCATCCTTGTGAGAGTGCCCTTTGCATCTTCTTTTGAATCAAAGTTCTGTCCAAGCCCTTCTCCTGCCTACTGACTTCCTCATTCTCTTGGTCTGGCTATTGAGCCACTTGTTCTGGACAGAGGAAGAGAGGGGCCAAGAATGAGGGCTTTTGTTCATTTCTTTCCACTCCAGTTCAGGCTGGTTTTTCCCAATAACATTGTTCAAAAGGACGAAAAAGAAAGAAGAGAGGAGAGGAGGGAGGAGAATGGGAAGAGAAGAGGAGAAAAAGAAAAGGTGGGGAGGAGGAAGCACCCACTTGAGAGAGAGGGAGTCTCTTGCTATGGGTACTTCCGTGTCAGCAGGTGCTTATTGGGAAAGACAGGGAGATTGCCCACCTTGGTTTTGCTCGGCTATAGTTCTAGCCTTTTGTGGCCATAGAGAGGCTGTGATCTTGGCCCTTGCTCCCTCACTTAACTGGTAAGTATTGTGCACTGGTGTCCAGAAACACCTGTGGAAAGATCTGGGGAAGGCAGGGACAGGAGTCTCCTTTCTAGCCATGGTACCTACAGAGCTGGTTCTGGGGCATAGGCAGCTGCTTTTATCATCTGGTTCCACCCAGGGGAGCCAGCTATGTTGTCTGAAGACCAGGAACAGCTAGTGCGCAGAAGGAGCCTGTCCCACGAAGGTGCGCGGAGCCGGGACCCATACACAAATCCTGTGGTTTTCTCCCCAGGTGGACATGCACTCAGAGCAGCATCAGCCCCCAGTACAACATCTGCGAGCAGATGGTCCAGATCCGGGATGACCACATCCGATTCATCTCTGAGCTGGCTCGCTACAGCAACAGCGAGGTGAGTCCTGCAGCTGGTCCAGAGCCGGCGGCGGTACAAAGAGACTGGGCAGGCAGAGGCAGCATAGGATGGAGGCAAGAGGGTAACATTGCTGGAAGTGTAGTTTTAGAGTCAGACTAGAACCGATGCCCAATATCTCTGTGCCTCGATTCCCTCATCTGCAAAATGGGTATACAAGTAATTCCCGAGGGGCACTTTCTTCTTCTTGGGGTATTTGTACTTTTATTACGTAGCAAATATTTAAGAAAAGTACCGGTTTAAGATAGCCAAGTAGGAGGAATCACTTGTAATGTTCTGGAGTGACGGTGGTTGATGCTGGTTATGGACATCAACTTGAAGAAATTACATGAGAGGTGATAGACACACCAGGTAGCCCATCGGTTCCTCACATATTGTACACGTGTGTTGAATCTTCACACTGTGTCCCATAGAGATCTATAATTACTGTACCAGTTAAAAACAATTCAGTCATCTTCCAGACGGAGGTAATGATAGGGCATATTTTGAAAGGTTCACGAGGATCATTAACAGGGTGCCTGTCATATGTATTGTACCTGAAATACAGTAAGGTCCCAGTAACTGTTTATTAGCTATATAGGATTCATTCCCTCTCGAGCTTCAGCAGCCAGAGACACGGTTCTGAACCCTCCTGCTCCTAACACCATTTAAAAATGCATGACTCTGGAATAGTAGATGATCCTTACGAAAATTTATATGGAGTCAGAGAAAGAAAGACCCTAAGGGTCCGGCTCCGTGGAGAGAACGCTTGCTAGGCAAGCATGAGGACCAATTAGGTCAGGAGCTCCAGAACACTTAGAAAGCCAGGTGTGGTCGGTAGCACATGTCTGCAACCCCAGAGCCTCTACAGCGAAGTAGGAAGCTTGTGGACCAGCTTCCCTGGTGAATGCGATGGCAAACAACACAGAGACCCCATGCCAGAGAAAATGAAAAGTGAGCACTGATACCCACCGTGATCCGCATCTGTGTGCACCGTGTGAATACCTCTTGCAACACTAAAGACTGTTTTTAAATCATTTTTTTTTTTAATGTAAGAGCACGCTCAATTCACAGACTTAAAAAAATAGATATGCGAAAGGGAAGAAGGTAACCAACTCCATAGAATCCTATCATCTCAGGATAACTTTAATTAGCATGTCTTTCTAGGTCCCTGCGTTTCTCACAGATTCATGTAATGTGATGTTTAATCCCGCATGGGTCCCCAATCTGAATTTCCGTATTGTGGAAGAGCCCACATTTGCTCCGCGGCTCCACCGTGTGGCCAGTGGCCATAGTGATCATCTTTTCCCAAGCCCCAGCTCAGAAATTACCTGGGCATATGAAATGGGGTCAGACTGGCAAATTTGGGCAGCGTGGTTAGTAGGCTTGGCGCTCACAAGGACCATATGAAATCCAAACCTTTATCTGTCTTTCCAAAAGTGCCAGTAAAGTGCGATAAGCAGAATTATTTGTCTTGAGGCCAGAATTCCTAGTCACGTGTTTGTGCCATCTGAGACTAAATCTGGCCAAAGGCGCTATCATCATCATCATCGTCCTCATCATTATCATCGTTATTATTACAGTTAACTTTTGATACTCATTAGGGATTGCTTCGAGATCTACTACTGACACCAAAGTCTACAGATCCTCCAGTCTCTTAGTTTTTCATATAACCTATTTGCATACCCAAGTTATCGTAAATCATCTTTATTATTTATGAGACCTAATACAATGTGTAAACACCACATGGTCTAGTTTTATGTTACTATGATAAAATACTCTTGACAAAAGGCAGTTTAAAGAATTTATTCTATAAGAGTTTATTTGAGTTCACAATTTCAGATTATAGTCCATCACTTTGAGACAGTCACAGAGGTAAGAGCTTGAGACAGCTGCTCACATCACCCCTGCAGTAAAGAGTGGAGAGACATGAATGCATGCTCTTTTGCTTGCTTGTGCTCAGCTCAGTTTCCCCACTCCTACACAGTTCAGACCCACTGTAGGCTGGGTCTTCCCTCATCAATTAACTTAAGTAAGACAAGCCCCCATGGATATACCTCTAGGCTGAGCCAGTACAGACAATCTCTCATTGAGACACCCTTCCAAGATGACTCAAGGTTGTGCCAAATTGGCAACTAAAGCTAAACATCACATCATAAATAGTTGTTTTTGTGTATTTAGGGATAATGACCAGATCGCACAATACAGAATACAACATTTTCCTAAGTATTTCCCATCTACCATTGCATGAATCTATTGGGTGTAGACTACCTCAGACACATTCAACCAAATGAACATGCTTTCTATATGCATATATGTTACCAGTCTTCATAACTTTCAGTCATAACATTCTGAGAGTTTAATTTAGAGTTTAATTTAGCATAAACTCTAAATTTAAAAAAAAAAAATGAACCACTGTCCACAAAGAAATTCAGAATTCCCTGGAGCCTCTTGCTACAGTATTTAACAGCACAGAATCTTATTGTATGTGTGTTTTTGTCTAAAGATACCTTTGTGGTAATTTCGGTTAATTCATTGGCATTAACTGAATATCAACAGTACAATGACTTCAGTTTGAAGTGTTTCTAACTGTGCCTGCCACAGCTTTCCTGCAGGTAGAACACTGCATAGTGTTGTGGTTCTCAACTGAGTCACAACCTCTTTGGGGTCAACTGATCCTATTACAGGGGTTGCATAAGACCCTCAGAAAATACACATATTTGCATTACAATTCATAACAGTAGCGAAATTGCAGTTATGAAGTAGCAATGAAAATAACTTTACGGTTGAGGTCACCATAACATGAAGAGCAGCTTTAGGGAGGCTGGGAACCACTGGCCTAGCACATAAGCTCTGTTTGAGACTTAATTAAAAGCACACAAATTTGGGCATCTCAATACTGCTTAAGCTACAGGGAAGATGTTTATTTGTAATAGGAGAGCTAAACCAAAGAGGGAGAGGCCTCTGCCCAACTGGGAACACAGAGCTGTCTGCAAGGGATGGAAACTTTGCAGCAAGCATTAATTTGGAAAATTACAGGTAGACAGTAGTGACGAAGCAGATTTACAAAGATAGTGTCCATCACTGATGACCACCCACCTGTATTCATGTGGACATGTATACATATCCAGATACCATGTGGGTACATACGTACATACACATGGTGTGGAATATTACACATACAGTCATTTGTGCCAGATCTTTTTTTTTTTTTTCATTTTATGTGCATTAGCATGAAAGTGTCAGATCCCTTGAAACTGAGGCTATAGACAGGTGTGAGCTGCCATGCTGGTGCTGGGAATTGAACCCGGGTCCTTTGGAAGAGCAGACAGTGCTCTTAACCATTGAGCCATCTCTCCAGCCCCCATTCCAGATCTTTTTTTAATCAGTACATCGTAGCTAGTGAGTGACATCATTTTGGTGATCTGTGATGAGCCCTGTATGCGAAGCAGGGTATGAAGCTAGGGGTCCCGTGATGTCAAGGTGCTGCGTGAAACTCATTGCCTACACACGCACTCATATTTCATATCACTGCAAAGACTTACTAGTCTGCGCTTCCTACCGAGAGTGCAGTCAAGACAGGGTTAAAGCCTTTGCTGCAAGGCTCTGGGGTGGGACTGGGTGGGGAATCTAGACTAACACCTCCTGTGGCCTTCAGCGAGACAACTGTCAAAGCCAAGTTTACCTGGCAAAGGGGCATGGCAGTTGCACAGTGTCTGCTGGGGAACCAGAGGAGGAATGCTTCTAAGCCTCAGGCCCATGGACCACGCAGTGAGTACGCAGTTCTCTGTCCCCCCAGGTGGTGACAGGCTCAGGGCTGGACAGCCAGAAGTCAGATGAAGAGTACCGGGAGCTTTTTGACCTGGCCCTGCGAGGCCTGCAGCTTCTCTCCAAGTGGAGCGCCCACGTCATGGAGGTGGTAAGTGTCCTGAGGTGACAGGTCTCACATGGCCAGATTCACATGGCATCCATGGAGCTCTGACTTCACTCAGTGTTCTGTCTTTCAGCATGTAATTCATATACCACACTGCTTACGGGACTGCTTCCGTGAAACCTACAAATTTAAGTATATTTACAGAATTATATACCCTTAAATTAAGAATATTTTCATCACTTACAACATAACACACACACACACACACACACACACCATCTGGGACCCAGCACCAACATTGGTTGGCTTACAACCTCTTGTAACCCCGGCAGAGGAGATCTGATGGCCCTGGCATCTGTGGATACCTGCACACGCGTGCACATCCCCACAGACAGAAACATACACACATAAACGTCATTAAAAATAAATCGTAAAAAATAGTTTTAAAAACTCACACCTATCACCCCGTTCCTTCGGACCTCAGTATTCTGCTTTCTAAGGATACCCTACTCTCGATATCCGCCATATCTAAATACATAGACTCATAAAGCGCGTGTGATATTTTGTGTCTAGAGGTTTTTGTTGTTGTTGTTGTTGTTGTTGTTGTTTTTACATTGTGTTTTCAGGGTCTGTCCCCATCCTGCATGAGTCAGTGCTATCTCTTCTCCACCCCGTTAGTGTGCCCTGGGATGGCTTGGCCATTTTCTTCACCATTCCTCAGCTGAGGGTCTTGGCTGTTTGTTCTCTCCCCAGTACTCTTGGAAGCTGGTTCACCCCACAGACAAATTTTGCAACAAGGACTGCCCGGGCACAGCGGAAGAATATGAGAGAGCCACGCGCTACAATTACACCAGCGAGGAGAAGTTTGCCTTTGTGGAGGTGGGTGTCCGATGCCCTGCTCTCCCCACGCACCCCAGGACTGCTGCTCCCTGTGGTTCCCGGAGTCATTTTAATCACCCAACAGTGTTGACATTTTTAACTTGCTGCACTTTTTATGATGTCTTTTTCCCCCCATCCAGGTTGTTCTCTGTGAAAAGTTACTAAGAAATGACAGGGTGAAGGATGGGGATGGGGTGGGGATAGATAGATAGCTGGTTCAGTGGTTAAGAGCCTTGACTGCTCTTCCAGAGGTTTTGAGTTCAATTCCCAGCAACCACATGGTGGCTCACAACCATCCATAATGAGATCTGATGCCCTTTTCTGGTATGCAAGTGTACGTGCAGATAGAGTACTCATATATATATATACCTACATATATAATTTTTATCTAAAGAAATGACGAAGGGTTCAGCTAATTTAAAATTCCAGCATAGACTGTCGAGGGTTCATGAGTCCCTGCCCCTAGTGGAAGAACAGTTGCTAGTTACTGGGGTAGTAAGAGTCACCTTTTTTAGGAGCATGACCATTGGTTGAGTCCCCATGCCCAGGGCATGACTGCATGCCCATGTGTGTGTGGGCAGCTCTGATTGGACACACTGGGTTAAAACATAACAAATAGATGGCTAAACATGTGCTTATGAAAGGAGGATATGAAATTGGAAGGGAGGTCCCGAGGGAGGTGCCAGGGGAAGTAAAGACGGTCATGAGCAAGATAATCATGTATCTTAGTTAGGGTTGTCTGTTGCTGTGACAGAACACCGTGATGAGAAAACCAAGCGGGAGAGAAAAGGGTTTATTTGGCTTACGCTTCCATATTGCTGTTCCTCACTGAAGGAAGTCAGGACTCAAACTGGCTTGCTTCCCCTGGCTTGCTCAGCCTGCTTTCTGATAAGAGTCCAGGACCACCAGCCCAGGGATAGCACCACCCACAATGAGCTAGGCCCTGATACATCAATCACTAATTAAAATGCCTTACAGTTGGGCCTCACGGAGATGTTTCCTCAACGGCCTGAGATACCGAGTGAGAAAACCCTGAGGCCCTTCCTCTCTGATAACTCTAGCTGTGTCAAGTTGACACAGACCCAGCCAGTACATAAACCTCTACATGTCTGACAGTTTCTAAGAATAAGTTAAATTTTTAAAAATATATGATGTGGGCTGGCAAGGTGGCTCAGTGGGTGAAAGCACTGACCACACAAACCTGAGGATCCCAGTTTGGATCCCCAGCACCCATGTCAAAAGGCAGATCACGGTCACACCCTGTACCCTACTGTTCCGGGGAAGAAGATGGAAGGATAGCGGAGCAACACTCCGAGCCTCTTTGGCTTTGTTTTTGTTGACACAGAGTCTCATTCCGTTGCCCTTGAACTCGCTTGATGGCCAAGGCAGGTCCTGGGACTACATGCTTGTGCTGTCATGGCTGAATTGTAACTTTTCACTGGAGTTCTCGCATTGTAGATGTTCCTTCCATGGCCACACTAAGGGGGCTTTCACATGATCACCAAGTCTCTGTCACAGTCCCTTGTTCTGTGCCCTCACAGGCCTTGCTAGTGGCCATCTCACTAATGAACTTGGCCATTCTAATAATCATTTAGGTGAGCCACATTAATCCTGTCATTCTCATTTCCCAGAGTGTAATGATAAATATTCTATCGAAGTCTTCGCTTTGTTTGTTTGTTTGTTTGTTTGTTTTTGGTTTTTGAGACAAGGTTGTTTCTCTGTATGGCCCCGGATGTCCTGGAGCTCACTCTGTAGACCAGATTGGCCTCAAACTTAGAGATCTACCTGACTGCCTGGGATTAGAAGTGTGTGCCACCACCACCAGGCTGTCTTTGCCCGTCTTTAAAGGTTGTGTTCTGCTTTTTCACTAAGTTGTGAGAATTCTTTCTGTATCCTCACCACAAAAGTTTTGTCATGCATATGTTGTAAGTAGCTTCTCTTCTTGGTGACTTTGCCTCTGTTTTCTTGACAGTGCCTTTTAAGGAACACTGGCTTTATAGTTCCCTAAAGTCCAATTTATTCATCTTACTATTTTACAGTATGCAAATGGGGATTCTAGCGAAGAAGTCTTTACCTAGTCTTAAGTTGCAAAGATTTTACCTTCAGGTCCAACAGGCTTGCCACTCTGTGTTTGAAATAATCTGAACCCTTCTTTATCGATCCGTCTGTCTCAGTGTTTTAGTTGGGGGTTTGTCTGTGTGAGAGGCTATGCACCCGAGGTCTAAGGAGCCCAGAGGCAGCAGATACCCTTGGGCTGGAATTACAAGCATTGGTCAGCTGTCCAGCATGGGTGCTGGGAACCGAACTTGGGTCTGCAAAAGCAGGTAATGCTCTGAACTGCTGCACCAGCTCTCTAGCCTCTGTCTGGATGTGTTTTCATTTCACCTCTGGCCAGGAGTCTGACCACCTTCGAATGCCTCTCTTATTAGTTCTTTCCACATACCCTACTGCAGCAAAGCACTCTACTCTTTAGCTCCTAGGGGTATCTTCACCTTCTGACCAGGTTTCTCACCCTAGTTGCTAGTGTTGTTGTTTGCTTGTTTCTTTCTTTGTTTAGGGGGTGTCTTGTTTATTTTGTTCTGTTTCTTCAACGTTTTAGAGAAAGAAAAAAAGATCAGCACATGTAAGCTCATCGCTCATTCCTTCATCCTGTTCAACAGAAGGTTCCACTTGGGGGGTTTTTACGCATGGATGTGCATGGCATTGGGCCTTCCTAGCCACTGGGCCTTCTGTGCTTCAGCCTGGTGCATGCAAGCAGACACATCCCTGTGGGTGTAAGAGTGCATGGCTACCATGAGACGGCTGACAGGTCACATGCTTCCCCTCCATGCTCTCACAAGTCAGTGTGTTACCACTTTAGACTGACTAGCATGGACGACTCAGGCTGGTAAAGCTGGACTGATTGAGAATGTGTCTCCTACCTAGATCCATTATTCCTATCCCTCCCACACCACATTCGACATACCCACTGGGCAGCAGACAGCAGCTGCACAGGTATCTGCCTCCTTCCTTCAGGCAGGGGAGGGAGTGCCCAGTGCCAGGAGAAGACAGGCATCCTGCGAAAGAACACAGGCATTTTGGCATACAGGCCCCAGATAACAACCAAGACTAAGGTGGTTATCCCAGACTTGTTACAGCACCAGCTCATCTTTCTTCCTCTGAAAAAGCAGAAACAGAGGTATCTTCAGAACAACTTCGGGGGAAGTTTCTAGCTAGAGGCTCAAGAAGCTGTTGGCCATGTTATTCCGAAGGAAAGCTTTAGTAAATGTTCTGGGGGTTGGAACGGTGGTCTGGTTTGGTACAGTTTATGTCAGTGTTTGTAGAGAGATCTTCAAAACAAAACAAAACAAAACTCTCGAGAGTAGTACCCAGGATGTGGTCCAAGGGACCAGCTGTGATTTGTCAACAATCAGCGGTGAGATTAGGACATGGGCCAGGATGACAGTGACCTGCCTCATGAACCGTAGTCTTGCTTTTGTAGCAAGATACAAGTGTCATTTTCTAACTATCACTTATTTTTGGTTAACACTTAATGGTTATAAATACACATGAGGTCCACTATGACATGCCGGTATTCTGGGCACGCTATGTAAAGGTCAGATTAGCTAAATTATTTTTGTTGTTGTAAACATTTGAATTCCTCTGTGGTAGTTATTTTGAAAATGCAGCTACTTGTGCAGAGCAGTTTTCCCACCGTAATGTAGCATTGGAAATCATCCCTCCTATCCATCTGCAGTCCTATACACATGAACCCTCACCTCTCCATTACTGCCCGCTGTATCCATCCAGGACTGACAACCACTATTTAATCCTGTGTGTGTGTGTGTGTGTGTGTGTGTGTGTGTGTGTGTGTGTGTGTTACATTCATGTGCATGTGGAAGTCAGCACATGCTGACTTTCACTTCACATGTCATTCCTCAGGAGCTGTTCACCGTGGAGTTTGTTCCCTCGCCCCCAATTAGTCTAGGCTAGCTGGTATTTGAGCCCCAAGACTCCAACTTGCTCCTTCTCCCAGCACAGAACTCCCAGCTGGCTGAACTATCATTTTTTTTTTTTCTGCAGGTTCTGGAGTTTGAAGTTAGTTCTCAAGCTTACAATGCAAACACTTCACCAACTGAGCCATCTCTCTCTCTCTCCAGCCCCTCTTTTTTTATTGTAAGCTTTGTTCTGGGCCTGACTCAACATGGCGAATGTCCTCCTGTTCTATCCACGTTGCTTCATAGGGCAGGATTTCTTCTGTTTGGCCACATAATCTTACGTTGTTTACATCTGACAGTGTGCATTTGGCCCTACCTCTTACCTAGTCGTGGCCTGGCAGTTTTAGAGCCACTGGGGAATCTCCAGTGACCCCCTCCTTGCAGGGTGACCTTGCAAGGTGAGCAGATGGCTTGCTGAGTGACAGGTAGGCTGACCCTTGCTCTGTTCCCACCAGGTGATCGCCATGATTAAGGGTCTGCAGGTGCTCATGGGGAGGATGGAGAGTGTCTTCAACCAGGCCATCCGCAACACTATCTATGCCGCCCTGCAAGATTTCGCCCAGGTGACGCTGCGGGAGCCATTGCGGCAAGCAGTACGCAAGAAGAAGAATGTCCTCATCAGGTGGGTCCCTGGATGGCCCCATTCAGGGCACTGAAGGACCGTGGGATTGCAGGGCTGGAAGAGGAGGGTCATCTAGCTCAGCGGGCTTCCAGCCTGGCTTAAAACACACAGCGACACTCTGGCAAGCAGATGTGATAAGCCAAGCCTCCGCTCCACAGCTTGAACTCAAACCTACCGCTGTCTAAAAGTGTATTATTCCAATGAGTGCCCTGAAGGTCAGTTCCTTGTTTGTAAGAAGGGATCACGCCGTGGGGTGATGAGATGAGGTAATCTGTATGTAGGCTTCAGTGCATGCCACATAGAGTGCGGAGGCCGTAAATGTAAACTGTTATTAAAATTTTATCCATGGCGTCAGCGATACTAATGAGATGCTCCTGTAGGTCCTTCCTCCTCTCCCCACCCCCAAGTCCTGTCCTCCTGTCTCCTGCATGGCTCAGAGCTGAGTTCTTAGGTACTTGATCAGCCACTTGTTCAAAGCACCTTAACACTGTCAGCAGGATCCCTAAGTGGGTCCCGGAATGGGTGTGCATCCTGGACACTCAGACCACTAATGCAGGAGGTACCAAGACCCTGGGGGGGGGGGGCCTAGAAGCAGCCTTGCCAACACCTGAGCCGAGTCCCCATTCTTCCTTCCCCAGTGTCCTACAGGCAATTCGCAAGACCATCTGTGACTGGGAGGGAGGCCGAGAGCCCCCCAATGACCCATGCCTAAGGGGGGAGAAGGACCCCAAAGGTGGCTTCGATATCAAGGTGCCCCGTCGTGCTGTGGGACCGTCCAGCACACAGGTAAGCAGTTCCCAGGCAGCCTGGCTGCTCTGACTCCAGGCCAGTTGGACCATGGAAGGGCAACAGGCCTAATCGTGGTGTAGCAGGATGGGGGTCCTTGTCAGGAGGGGCAGGGCTAAGCAGCTGCTCTGGGCCTTTTGTGATGTATCGTTGTGATATGGAAAGGAAGACTGCTGGCCTAGGATTCAGGAGACCTGGGTTCTAGTCCTAGACACCTGTGTGACCTTGGGCATGTTACACAATCTCTCTGTGCCTCAGTTGTCTAGTCTGACCAGCGGTGGTCGTACCATAGCCACCTACCCAGCTGTCTCCTCGCCCTCCAAAGCTCATACTCTGCAGCACAGGAGAGATCTGGCACAGATAGTCTGTGGATTGTAATAACGCCAGCCCCTTTGCCTAGGGTGGCATCCTGGCTCCGGAACTTACAAGTTCTGCCTCTGACCTGCTGTACGTTCCTGGGCAAGTACCTTAACCTCTCTCAGCTCCGATTATCTTCTAAAACAGGAAACTGGATGAGATCCCATTACTAGCAAAACTCTTAACTTTTCTACTTTTTCCATCCCTTTTCCAAAGGTAGCCCACAAGCTTGGCAAGCCTCCTCCCCTTAGAGAAAGCCTGGTTGTCAGGAACACTGTGGGTTCCCAGCCTGAGATTCTGTAGTAAAGTATTGCCTGTGTTTATCCAGAGCAGTCTTGAAATTACAAGGGGAGAAAAGAGGGAATCACGAAATTCGCTTCTCACTGCCGATGCAGGAAAAGTACTTCCTGGTCTGCTTTCTGTGGTATTTGAAAACAGATGAGTCTTACCATAAGCACCAGGGTCTGGCAGGCTCCAGAAGCCCCAAACTAGAAGCATCTACTTACAGGGCCTTTCAAGCCTGTCTCTACTCTGCATCACCTGACCTGGGCCATCTGAGGCCCTTTCTGACCCCTCCTTCTGTGTGTGTCCATGTCTGGGCGGGGCTGGGGCTGAACAGGGGCAGGTGAGTGATTGACAGGGTTTTCATCCCTTAGCTCTGCCATTTCCGATGATCTATGGGCATGGGCTTTTGTCATCTGCTTGTGGTACATCCCAAAGAAGCCTCCGTAGACAGATCTGAAATATTTGAAGGTCAGAGAGCTTTCTAACTCTGTGTGGCATAGCTGAATGGCTCTCATGTACTCCTCTAAGTCCTGAGAAATAGATGAAGACAGGCCCCAGGGGGAGCTAGGAGAGGAGAAGGATGGAGGGGCTATAGATGGAAGACAGAAGAGAGAGGCCATCTTTGTAGATAACTGGAGAACTGCAGGTTGGTCACCAACAGCTAAAGCCCCAACCCCAGGTGCCACTGGGGTAGGTTGACAGCACGGGCATGTTTAGTTGACTCCTAGAGAGCCCCAGAGCTGGAAGAGTACTGAGAGGTAAACTCATCCCTCCCCCTATCACAGATGGAGAAACTGAGGTCCAGAAAGGGGAAGTGACTTGTCCAAGTCACCAGATGACTGCCAGGTAGAGGTGGGATAAGAACCCGGGTCTCCTGATACCCACCCCAGGGCTCTACCTCAGCCCTCAGAATGCGGTAGATGTAGGCGCCTCATGTAGTTGGGCCGTAGGCTGTCCTGGTGGGTTAAATGCCCTGTTAAATTGATACAGTTGGCTAAAGAATTGACCCTGTTGTGAATGAACCCACTTTTCCAAGGCCATCATTAGCACTGTACTTTGATACTCAGAGAGAGGCAGGCCCATTGACAGACAAGACCTGGAGGGTGGACTGTCGAGGAAACCAGCAACAATGGTCACCCCTTCTCCACCAAGGGGCCCCTGCATAGAGTAGCATGGCACCCAGATCTGTGACTGCCAGGCCCATGGTGGGTGAGACCCTAGGGCCCATCCAGAAGCAGCAGAGAGTAGCGTGGTTGTTGGGAGGTTGGAGCGTGTCACGTGTGGCCCCTGCAGTTGTGGCGGCTTTCCCACTGTATACAATACCTCTCGCTTTTCTCTCTCTCTCTCTCTTTCTCTCTCTCCCTCCTCCCTGTCTCTCCTGCCCTCCCATTCCCTCTTCCTTCTCTCCTATCTACGTCTTAGGCCTGCCAGTGGTCCCCGAGGGCTTTGTTTCACCCCACTGGTGGCACACAGGGCCGAAGAGGCTGCCGATCCCTGGTATAACACCGCCTGGCTGGGTTGGTTTGGGTGCCCACTGCGGGAGGCAGCAGGAACAGACTAGCCTGGCTCCTCAAGGCCCTTCCCAGCCCTCAGATTCAAAGACAAATGGTGTGGGGAAAAAAAAATAGAGTAGCAGAAAGAACAAAGCCTACTGCTCTTGGGCCCTTTGCATGTAGGGCGCTCTGTAAGCAGGAGTTATGTGTCCTGTGTAAGTACGGATTTCCACCCAGAATCTCTGGAAGGCTGTGCAATGCAGCCCAGGCCACCAGAGGGCGCCAGCATTCACTGGCAGGTTCAAACCACAGAGGCTCAGAAAAGGTAGTTGGGGTTGGGGTTGCTGTTTAAAGCTTTGTCTGTTGCGTAACTCCTCCCGATGTTAGAGCTTAAAGAGACTGAGTTGAGAACTTATCGGGTCCTCCTGTGAGAAAAGGCAACTGAAGCCCAGAGTGGAGGCTTTGTTGTCTAAGGTCACACAGCAAGTCATTGGCAGTGCCTGGCTTTGAACCTGGCTCTTTTGACTCCTGGTTCAGTGCCCCATCCATGCTGTTACCATGGTCATCTGGGAAATCAGAGAGTGACTGTAGAGTGACATGGATGCCCACACCGTTGGCTAAGCAGGGCAGGCAGGGACCTGCCATGGGTCTTAACGCCCTGCCATTGTCAGGTCCACCTAGGGGTCTGTGGGCCCTAGGCAGAGAACTTCGAAAAGCTGCTCAGTCTCCATCTCAGGGGTTTACACTAGGGCGGGTGGCGAGCTCGGTGATGGAATGCTTGCCTGGCATGTGCTGGGTCCCAGAAGAGCAGAGAAGAGGTTTCTGGTGGTTCCAAATCTGCTGCTCTGCCTAAGCCAGTGCTTCCTTAAGAAGACAGTTCTCGTTAAGAGCAGAAAGAGGCAGGAGGAGGGTGGGAAGAGGAGGCAAGTCCTTCCTCAGCATGGAGGGCCACCCTGATTTTCTCTCCCTTCCTTTTCAAGCTGTACATGGTTCGTACCATGCTGGAGTCCCTCATCGCAGACAAGAGCGGCTCCAAGAAGACACTCAGAAGCAGCCTGGATGGCCCTATTGTCCTTGCCATAGAGGACTTCCACAAGCAGTCTTTCTTCTTCACACACCTGCTGAACATCAGCGGTGAGCCTCGGGGCCCTCGCCTGGGGGAGAGAAGGCAGGGCATCCACCTCCCAGGACAACCAAAGACGTCGGGCTGGAAGTCATAGAGAGAGGAAATCGTGGGTCACACGGGGCACACATTTTGCTCCCGAGGGCAAAAGATTATTTAAAAACAACAAAAGAAAGACCTTTCTGTCAGCTGGGAGAGGTAGGAAAGGCCGGGCTCTGTTGCACCCATTCTGGACCAAGTGAGTTTGTCTGGGAAGCATCCGTTAGAAAGGGGTATTCATTCCGGGGACGCACATCTGTGGTCCAGCGTGCGCTGGATCAGTGTTTTGTTGACCTGAGCAACTACAAACTCTGTTGTACCATCTTAGTAACGGTTTCAATTGCTGTGAGGAGACAGCATGACCATGGGCGACTCTTACAAAGGAAAACATTCAACTGGGGCTGGCTCACAGTTCAGAGGTCCGGTCCATTATTGCCACATGCAGGCAGACATGGTGCTGGAGAAGTAGCTGATATACAAGCAGCAGGAAGAGAGGATACCACACTGGGCCTGGTTTGAGCATCTCAGAACCCCACTAGCAAGGCCACACCTACTCCAACAGGGCCACTCTTCCCAATAGTGCCAGTTCCTATGAGCCTATGGGGCCATTTTCTTCATTATTTATTCTTTATTCTCCTCTCGTATACAACATCCTGACTGTGGAAATTTCCCCTCCCTTCTCTCCTCTTGGTCCGCTCTCATCCAGATCCCTCTCCTCCTCCATTTCCCTTCAGGAAAGAGCAGGTCTCTCTGGGGTATAACGAGTTACAATAAGAGTAAAGTTGGATGAGGCAACCCACTAGGAGGAAAGGGGTCCCAAAAGCAGACAAAAGAGTCAGAGATGGCCCCCACTCCCACTTTTAGGAGTCCAACAGGAACACCAAACTACACAACTGTAACGTATATGCAGAGGACCCACATCAGATCCAGACAGGTTCCCCAACTGTTGGTTCAGTCTCTGTGAGCTGTTTGAGCCCTGCTTGGTTGATTCTGAGGGGCATGTTCTTTTGGTGTCCTTGACCCCTCTGGCTCCTATAGTCCTTCCTCCCCTCTCTCCACCTAATGTTTGTTTGCAGATCTCTGCATCTGCTCCTATCATGAAGCCTCTCTGATGACAATTATGCTGGACTCCTGTCGACAAGTAGAGCAGAGTATCATTGGGAATCAGTTCACTGACTTGAAAATTTTGTTTATTTCATCACTTTGCGGTCTGGGCCCAGCCCCCACCCTCATCTCCTCTCCCCATTCCCTCATCACCTTCTCAGGGAATGGGAGGCCCCTAAGGAGTACCAACCCACCCTAGCACCTCAGGTCACAGCAAGGCTAAGTGCATCCTCTCCCACTGGGGCCTGACAGGGCAGCCCAGCTAGGGGAAAGGGATCAGGCAGGCAACAGAGTCAGAGACAACCCCCATTCCCATTGTTAGGGGACCCACATAATTACCAAGCTGCCCATCTGCTACACATGTGTAGGAGGTCTAGGTCCAGCACATGTATGCTCTCTGGTTGGAGTTGAGTCCTGTGAACCCCCGATATCCCAGGTTTGTTGACTCTGTAGGTCTTTTTGTGTCCTTGACCCCTCCAGTTCCCTCTATCCTTCCTTCCACTTTTCCACCAGACTCCATGAGCTTGGCCTGTTGTTTGGCTGTGGGTCTCTGCATTTGTTTCCATCAGCTGCTGGATGAAGCCTTGCAGAAGGCAGTTATGCTAGGCTGCTCTCTGCAAGCATAGGAGAGTCTCAGTGGTGTCAGGAGTTGGCTCTCTCTTACAGGATGGGTCTTGAGTCGGGCCAGCCATTGGTCTGGCATTCCCTCAATCTCTGTTTTTATCCCTACACTTCTTGTAGTCAGGGTAAATTTGGGGTCAAAGGTTTTATGGGTGGATTGGTGTCACCCTCCCTCCACTGAAAATCCCACCTGGCTACAGGAGGTGGCAACTTCAGGCTCCATGTCCCCTGCTGTTAGGGATCTCAGCTAGGGTCACCCCAACAGACTCCCAGGGACCTCCCCTGTCCCAGAGATACTCCCCCACCAATTTCCAGTCTCTCTCCAGTTCCTTCCCACCCCACTGCCTCACCACTCACCCCTATTCTCCCCCATTACCCTCCCCACCCCCTCTTCCATGCAGGGAGGGTTCCCTCCATCTACTTCAGAGGTCTATTTTATTTCCTCTTCTTCATGAGATTCAAGCAAGCGTCCTCCCTTGGGCCCTCCTTGGCTTCCTTGAGTCTGTGTTTTGCAGCGTGGTTACCCTTTACAGCAAATACCGACTTATAAGTGTGTACATACATTTGTTTTTCTGAGTCTGGGTTACCTCACTTGGTATCCATTTGCCTGAAATTTTCAGAATGTCATTTTTAATAGCTGAGTAATAGTCCATTGTGTAAATATACATTGTCTTTATCCATTCTTGGGTTGAGGGACATCGAGGTTGTTTATTATGAATAAAGCTGCTAATGAACATAGCTGAGCAGGTGTTCTTGTGATAGGAAGGAGTGTCTTTTGAGTATATGCCCAAGAATGATATAGCTGGGTCTCAAGATAGATCGATTCCCAATTTTCTGAGGAGCTGCCATATTGATTTCCAAAGTGATTGTACAGGTTTGCACTCAGGGTTCCTTGCTTCACATTCTCGACAGCATGAGCCGTCGCTTGTGTTTTAGACCTTAGCCATTCTGATAGGTATAAGATGGAATCTCAAAGTCATTTTTTTTTATTTCTATGGGGCCATTTTCATTCAAACTACCACATATACTCAGTTCTGTACCCTCTTTTTTCCTCTGCTTGGAGAGGTTGTATGCAGCAGGGCAAAGGCAAGTGGGAACCCAGTGACATGGGGGCCACACAGTATACCGGTAAAACAGTAGTCCAGGCTTCTCTGTCAGAGAATGTGTTTGAAGTTGGGTTTTCAAGACCTCCAAAAAGCAAAGGATCCAGAATCACCACACACAGGGGATGAGGGAGCCATGCTTCCTTGAAAGCGAACATTGGTAGGTGTGTTCTAAAAACGGTGTTTGTTTACAAATCCCACTTCTTTTGCATGTAGGCTCTGTAGGATTTAGGAGAAACGTCACTGCCTCTTCCCACATAACTTGCCCTGTCTCAGAAGCCGACTGATGTCATTCACCATAGGTGCTACTAAGCTGGCTTTAGGCACAAGGCCTCAAGAACAGGGAAGGGCTGTGTGTGACAGCTGCTGTGCTCCCAGCGGTCACAGCCAATAGATGACGAATGCTGTGGCGTGTGAGCGCTTTCTGTTAAGCCAAGGTTCTCTCCCTGTACTTCCAGAAGCCCTTCAGCAGTGTTGCGACCTCTCCCAGCTCTGGTTCCGAGAATTCTTCCTGGAGTTAACCATGGGCCGGCGAATCCAGTTCCCAATTGAGATGTCCATGCCCTGGATTCTAACGGACCATATCCTGGAAACCAAAGAACCTTCTATGATGGAGTAAGAGTCAGGATTGGGCCAAGCAGGAAGTTCCTGGGGTGGGGTGGGAGGATGAGCCACCGGACTCTTTGCTTTAAAGAAGAAACTCCTGCGTGGAGATGAGGCATAGTACTTCGCCCCAAGGTCATTTGCCTCAGCCACACAGATGGACTTAGAAAGGCCCCAGTCCTCTGCCCTTCCTCTCTTAGGCCATCTCATATCAGCCATGCTCAAGAAATCGCCTTCTCTAGCAACCAAGAAATATCCTCCTTGGCTATGGTGTTTTAGGTCAGGGGATCCATTAGCATCATGGATTCTGAGATCTGTGTGCAAATTGGAAAGCAAGCCCTTCCTAAATGGAGGGGACACAAGGGAGGGTGGGAAGTTGTCTCCAACTCCAAGCCATCGGACTCATTGGCCACGCCTCGTGTTTCCCAGGCCGGTGTGCTTTGCCGCCCCATGACTCTCTGTTCCTTCGCAGGTATGTCCTCTACCCCTTGGATCTATACAACGACAGCGCCTACTATGCTCTCACCAAGTTCAAAAAGCAGTTCCTGTATGATGAGATTGAAGCCGAGGCAAGTGACATGCTTCCTTCATCCCTACGGTCTGCCAAGATGCTGGACTTGTCCAATATTTAGCAATTAACACAAAATGGGGGGGAGGGGCAGAGACGCTTCTCTAGGGAACAGTATTCATGTTCCCTGTGACAACTGTGGCTCTCAAATATAATAGTGTGCAATGGTCCTCTCCCGCTCTCCTCGTCCCTCCTCTGTGCTTCAAGGACCCCCGTCCATACCCGCCCCGTCTTGCAAATGGTGCCATCTGACTGCTCCAAAGGCAGGTCACGAGCACCAAAAAAGACCATGGGGCCTCTGGAGGGGCTGGGAATATCTAGATAAGAATTCAGAGCTGGTTCTAGGAAGGGAGGGCGGGGCCCAAATGAACACTCCTGCCTTGACCCTGTAGATTCCTTTTCTCTAGAGGGTACACTGAGGATAATTAGATTCAGGGGCGCAGGCAGGAGGCCTCAGTTACCTGGGTGTGAAGCCAGCACCGTGGGCTGAAGCCAACACAGCGACTGTGGAGCCAGCACCATGCCCAGGACCTGCTGTGGGTTTTGCTCTGTCTAATATAGTGGGATGTCAAGTCATAGGTACAGAAACTTTTAAATAAAGACTTCATCCTACAAAGCTGAGGACTTCATAGGAAGGAATCAAAGACAGAGCCCTCCTTTGGCTCTGTCCCCTGCCCTGCTGTTGCCAGGGCCTGATCTCTTTAAAGTCCCACATTGTGTCGGCCACTTTCTGCCCTGCTCATTGATGGGAAATGTGGCTCTGATGCTTGATGTCAGGTGTGACCTTGTCTTCTGCCCCAAACTTCACAGTCTCCTATGAATATCCCGATACACTGCGGTGCATGTCTTTGTTCACTAAAAGCCAGAGGGATTTAAGGAAAGCTTGAAGAAAGGGACTTTTCTATGTCTACAGACATTCTCAAAATTAGGTCTGCAGAACAAGGAAAAGCAAATGCAAGGAGGACACAAGAAAGCCTTCCGGTTAGCAGGCTGCCAGGGCTAATCACCACGTAAGAGGGCAGGCTTTTATTTGTCTTCCCTGACCAAGCAGGGGGAAGCAATAGGGGCTGGGGCTGGTTCCTTGGGCTCCTCTGCTAACTAACTGAAGACATTAAGAGCAAAGGGCCGAACTCGTGGACACAGATGCCTTCTTCTTTTTACCCTGTCTGTCAAGGCTGTTGTGTTGCCCCGGAATACACTTCAGTCAACCCTGCCCTGGGGCCCTCCCAACTGCCCTGTGTTTCTGTGGCTAATGCAGACAGGACCCACTGACCTTCCTGCTTTCTCCCCATCAGGTGAACCTGTGCTTTGATCAGTTTGTCTACAAGCTGGCGGACCAGATCTTTGCCTACTACAAAGCCATGGCGGGCAGGTAGGGGAGCCTAGGCTGTGTCCTTTCTTCAGCCCAGGGCTTGGAAGCCACGGTTCCCTGCTCTCCCTTGTTCAGCACTTAAGGAAAATTGAGCAGTTTCCATGGCTCGGTCACTGAAACACACTGTAAAGGAGAATGGGCAGGTAGTGTAGAAATACTTCATGAGGTTTACAGTTCAATAGAAGGACAGAGTGATAAAAACTAAAGGAAGTCCATGAGACTGGGAATATATGGTGGATAATCGTGAGCTAGTCGAGGGCATCTTAAGGAAGCAGCCTCTAGGGAGTTAAGTAAAATGAGGTGTAAGATGGGTCCGGAGTGTGTAGGCAAAGGGAACTTCTTGTCGAAGCCTTGGTGGATCAAGTACAAAAATAATAGCTTACTTGCTATTATTTGGTGAGAAGCTTGGGTTACTTCATGGCAGTGGCCACTAGAGGGCGGGCTGTATGACCTGGCACCATAAACCTTGAAGGGCCTGGAGAGGAATAAACCTCCACAAAAATGCTTTCAGAAGCACAGCTGTGGCTTGACTTGATTCTTAATTTTAAACTTCCTCTTTAAAACATATAAATCTATGGAGGATGTATTTAAGGTGTGTGTGTGAAGAAGTTTGAGTTGGAGATGTGTCAGGTTTGTGGGCTTCTCAGTATTTACCGAAGATTACACCTGCCCCCATCCTCAATGAATTTTTGGGTTTTAATAACCAGCAATGGTACTATCATGAAGGAAAATACATTTATATAAAAGTATTGTAGTTCTTGCTGAAAGGTGAGACAAACAGATCAGCAATCCCAAGGGGGATTTCCCCACCTCAGTTGTTTCCCCTCCCCTAAGGAAGTGATTGGCTTGTTTTGCTTGGACAGGCTTGACGCACTTCAAATAGGAGTTGACATGCACTGCACACAAAATGCCCCAAACACGGAATCTGCACTGACTAAAGAGAATGAATCCTAAATAATGAGCAGATAGAAAGCGCAAAGGCACATGCATCGCTACAGAGTTGCCTAATGGGTGTGAGCAGGTCAGGTAGGGTGCAGTCCCAACAGGGGAGGTAGCATTTCTGAGACAACTGTGGTCCTAAACTTGCCGATTCTTTCTGTGTAAACAAACTCAGGAGTGTTAAGTCACAGGGACTCTCTGTGCTTGGTTTATAAAATCTTTTCATCTTGGAAGCTAGAGAGATGGCTCGGTGCTTAAGCGCTCTTGATTGTCTTCCAGAGGAACCAGCTTCAAATCCCAGTAAGTCACAGGAGGTAGCTCACAACTACTTGTAACTCCAGGGGATCTGTTGCCCTGTTCTGGCCTGTATGCAGACACACAGGCACAAACACACACACACACACACACACACACACACACACACGTTGGGGGAGGGAGGAAGCGAGGGAGAGAAAGAGAAGAGAGAGATTTTCATAGTTAAGAATCTATATCCCCAGCTGGGTGTAGAGGCTCACCTTTAATCTCAGCACTCAGGAGGCAGAAGCAGGCAGATCTCTTATGAGTTTGAGGCCAGCCTGGTCTACTGAACAAGTTTCAGGACAACCAGGGCTACAACAGAGAAACCCTGTCCCAGTACACACACACACACACACACACACACACACACACATACATAACGCCATTTGAAAACTATCTCTCAACAACTGTCCCTGCAAGGAGGGTGCTTTTCAAAAGGGTGGAAATTGAGAGAAGTCTGAAAGGTGAGAGAAAAGAAGCACTAGAAGGAAAGGGTAACACAGGCCAACCCCATCATCTGAAGTAAAATGCTGCTGCACGTGGGAGCCGTCTCTGCAGTCCTCAGCATCTTAGCAGCCATATTTTAATGAGGAAAAGAAACAGCTGACATCTTAATGATGTTTTCTCTAATTCAATAAATCAAAGCCACTAAAATTTCAACATGGAATCAGTGTAAATATTTTTGAAGAGATAGCTCTGTTTTTCTCCTGGATCTCCTAAATCTAGCATGTATATGGCAATGGGTCTCAGGTTGGGCCTGCCTCATTTGGTTCATTAGGCACTATGGCTGCCGGCTGCTACTTTGGACCGTGCCAAATACATCTTTTTCCCCACTTAAAACTTGGAAACGGCTTCCAGTTCATCTGTATATCCCACCTCTCTACAAGGATTCTGTAGACTCACAAGATCTAGCCTGTAGACTAAGATGTTTTTCCAAAATCTCATTCCCTTTACCCACCCCGACTGCCTTCTCTTTTCTAAAACAGACCAAGCTTATTTATTGCATATGGGATAAGCTTACCTTGACTTTACCACTATCTTTCAGCCTCTGTTCCAAAACAAAAAAAAAAACAAAAAAAAAAAAAAAGCTTTACATAACCCCTAACTCCAAATGACCATACTTTCAAGTACCAGGGATATCCTTCAACCCACGCCTCACTGTGGAAGATAAAAATAGTACATTTGGTTTATACAACTGTTGCGACATTAAAAATAACTGTATGTGTATGCATCTACAGGCGTGTGTGTGTCCGTGTGCATGAATGTTTGTGCGTGTGGTGTATGTCTATGAGTCTGTGTGTGCATGTGTGTGTGTTGCCTGGTTCAGTGAACACTATGCACATGCTTCCTCTTGCAAATTTTGTTCCCTTGATTGCTCTCACGTCTATGGAAAGTCAGTACTGTGAGGGCAGTACCTAGAATTTCCTTGGTGTTCCCGGTACCTAGGATTTTCACTGGGACATCCTAAGAACGCACTCAACTGTTTTTGCCGTAAATGAAGAAAAGAGTCTCCACCCTGGGTTGCCCGCCATTAATTTAGAAATTCCATTTCACATATTGAGCTTCTGTGGCCAGAAGGAAATCTGGGGAACCATCTCTAGAGCAGCCACAATTCTGTTTGAGATATTTGAGATCATGTGTTCTGGGTGGACCTCTGTGGCCTGGCCTGGCTGTGGCTCGGTTGTTGAGAAGCCATTTGCCGCCATGCTCAGCACACCTACTTCACGTTGCTCTCTTCCAGTGTCCTGTTGGATAAACGTTTTCGAGCTGAGTGTAAGAATTATGGAGTGATCATTCCATACCCACCATCCAACCGCTATGAGACGCTGCTAAAACAGAGACACGTCCAGGTATGTGGGAGAAAGCCACAGGGGGGAGAAATGGGAGGAACAGATTCTGTGGAGGTGGTGTGGACTTTCCTATCTGCCTGAAGTGTCTGCACCCAACCGCAACAGCCTCAGAATTTGTTACAAACAGTAGTGAGCATCCTTTGGTGTAAGTTATAGACTTCCTGGCTCTTCTCCAGCCGGCCTCTGAGAAGCACTGGCCACCCTGGCCTACTGTCCTGAGCAGTCTTCTTTTCTTCCTCGGCACTATCACATATTTCAGGTGGACCCACCCCTGAATTAAATGAAAAGGGCTGCATCCCCTTTAAATGAAGTGCATCAAGCTAAATCTGGGGTAGACATTGGTTTGTTTTTATCCAGTGGTTTCTCTTAACATTTGATCCCAGATGTAGAGAAGATCCTGCTGGGGATAAGAACAAATATCTCTGTCGTTCTGGAGAGGCATAATGGCTACAACCACAGACCCTAAACTCTCCCTGCCAAGACTTCTGGCAGAATAGCCTGTGTGCGGTGATCTCTGTGCAGTTGTTGTGGGGTCCTTGGTCTCTGTGAAGGAGCAGAGCTGAGGCCAAGAAGATGCTGAGATGAACAGGAAAGAATCTATCTTGAACTCTGTGGACACCCATTGCCAGTGCCTAGTCATAAGAGAGAAAAACATAAGTTTCCAAAGACGAGCATCATCAGTTTCATGCAGAATTAGCCACGGGATCCCTTTATGGGACCTTAATTTGTTAATAGGAAATTTATTCTAAAATAAATAATACTTAAGAGTAATCACTTAGCACCTAGCAAAGCACAGTGCACACAGCAGGTGCTCAATAAATGGTTATTGTTGTCTTCAAAGCATCTGCAATAATGCCCGTGTGGATCCTGGTGGAAATTATCTTAAGCTATATTTTTCCACCCTTTAATCGGCCGTTCATATGCTTGCTTTTAAAGTCACTCCCATGGAGGCATAAAGTAGGCCATCGCTAAGGTGGCTCCTGCTCCCTGGAGACTGCGAACAGAACACAGGAAGACACAGAATGAACCTTAGGACTGAATCTAGGGTTGTCAGCAGAAGCATTTCCCAGCGGTCAGAGCTTGCCCCAAGCCTTCTCCCACAGCCGAAATGGGGTTGTTTTTTTTCCCCTCCATGGATTTTAAGTCAGGCAGTGGTTCTCCACCTTCCTAATGCTGTGACCCTTTAATGCAGTTTCTTGTGTTGAGGAATTGTTTTGTTGCTACTTTGTAACTGTAAGTTTGCTACTGTTATAAATTGTAATGTAAATAGCTGACATGCAGAATATGGCTATGTGACCCCAAAGGGATCATGACCCACACATTGAGAACCATTTATGTAGAGCCTTCAGGGAAATCAGAATAGTACAATACACAACGGTTTCCAGGCTAGCCAAACATGGTGATGAGTGTTTCACTGTACTGAGTTCATTTTTCTCTTTCTCCCACAAGCATGCATACTCATTACACATATGCCATATATACATATGGTATGCACATAGATTAAAAATTAAATGGAATTACCATTGTCAATAAATTTTGTGATGCTATTTTCTACATACAGTCATCCCTTGTCCCAGTAATACTCTTTATAATTTTAGTACAGTTTTCTACCAGTGCATCGTATTTACTTGTCTGTGGAGATATTAAGTAACTTTCATCCCCCCCCCCCGCCCCCTTCCTCTGCCATTCAGCTGTTGGGTAGATCAATTGACTTGAACAGGCTCATCACCCAGCGCATTTCTGCTGCCATGTACAAATCCTTGGACCAGGCAATCAGCCGCTTTGAGAGTGAAGACCTGACTTCCATTGTGGTAAGATACAGGAGGCCTGTTAGCTTTCTGCTCTAAGAGGCCTCAGATAGATGCCCAGTTGGAAATAGTTATTAGCTCTTCCGGCTAGTTCAAGAGAAGCAGGGGACTTCTTTCACACCTGACCAGAGTATCTGGGGAAAAAAGACTTGAATGGAATGCGAATGATTTTTTCATCCTTATAGAGGGGTAGCCAGGTGAGGGGAGAGGAAGAGAATCTCCTTGAGAACAGAAGTAACATCCCTCAGGTTTGACAATGTCTTTGGGATCTACAGAGTGGAGCAAGCAGGCAGAGTCCAGAGAAGCTAGTGAAAGTAGCACAAGGTCACTTAAAGGGTGTGTAGCCCTTGACGGACGGAAAGGGCTCTATGGTGGGTTATTTGTTCCAATGTGTCTCCATCTTGAAATACTGGATGGTTTTGAATACCACCCTGTGTTTTCATTTTGCACCGTGCCCTGCAGAGTTTTCAGCCTGCTCTGTTGCAGTCAGGAATAAACCTGTCCCCTTCTAGAAGACAGCAGCTGGAATTGCTCCCTGTCAGTTTTCTCTCAGAGAGGAAGCAGGAAGTGCATTGAACTAGGACACCAGAATCAGACAGACATATTATTCCAATCCTGCCCCTGACAGTTACTAGCTCTGTGATCTTGGCCAAGTTCTACATCTTCACCAAGCCTGTTTCCTCATCTCTAAAGTAAAGGAGCCATGAGGATATAGTAGAAACAGACTTGGAAAGAATTTGGAATGGGTCTTCGTAAGTTGATAAACACTTAATAAGAAATAATAGGCTTTTTCTCCCCCTTGGTGATGTGGGTATAGGCCAGATTAGACCAGATTAAAAGCAGCTACAGGCAGGTTTATTAGGAAGCAGCAGACATCTCCCAGATGGAGGTCAGTGAAGTCCTGCGTCTGGGCTAAAGTGAGGGGTTTTTTATAGAGTTTAGGCAAGGAGTGATGACGTGTCAGCTAGGAGCTGGGATTGTGCCCATATACGGTTAAACACTGAGCCCCTGAGAGGGCGCTCTTGGGTAAACTGTCTGAAATGCAGAGAAGGGAATGATGATGACGCGTGAGCCCGGAGTTTCCTCCTTGCAGGCAGGGTTGAGGAAAAAAAAGAGCAGATGGGGTTTCCTGGCTTGTGCAGGGCCAAGCAAGGGTTCCAGCCAAACAAGTAATAGCTTTTTAAGAAAAGGAACAAGAGAAGAACTATGGGGCTGCAGGGTTCTCTGGGGAGGGGGAGCTGATATCTACAGCATCTGCTAGACCCAACCACTCACCTGAATCTTGCATCACTTACAAGAAACTGGAATAAAGAGCTCACATTCCTGAAATCTCTAGGCTGCCTCTCTCTTGGGAAATGCAGATTTGTTTTGTACATGTTAAAATGTCCTCAGTGCTTATCTCTCTCAAGAGGTGGGAGTTTGTGTTTCTTCTCTTTTGTTTAGCTGTATGTTCTTGTTTTCCACTTAGGCGGGGGCAGGTGTTCATGGCTTCTTCCCACTCCCTGGAAGACACTGAATGTTCTCTTGGCTAGAGCAAAATGAAAACATGCTGTGAAAGCCCTCATTTAATCAGATGAGACACTGGTCCCCACCCAGAACATCCTCTTCCTGGAAGCCTTCCTAGGAACAACCTAGGGAGCCTCTCTCCTTGGGGGTAGGCATGGTTCCTGTGGGCCTTAGCTGAGCAGCCTCTGCCTCCAGGCAATGGCGGAAACAAACAGAGGATTGTACCCTTCCCTTCCACCTTCGAAACTCTGCTCTAAAATGTGGGAGTCACTGTGTGTGACTTGGGGAGACAGTCTCCTCGTTGTGTAAGTGTGATATGCAGGGAGTCTCACAGGCTGGCAGACTGTATGCTCTCTGGCTACTGGTGTATTTGAAATCTTGAGGCAACACCTAACATTTGCAAACCTCCAAGTAAGATGCAGGAGCTCAGACAGCACCAGACTAGCATTCCCAGATTGCAGCTATCATCCGGCTGACTGCAGACTGTTTAAGCAGGCCTGGCTCTCCTGAGCTTGCAGTCACCCCGACAACCCCACAGACACACTGGATGCGAAGCTCGCCCCGCCTACTCTGTTTAATTCTCAGATGCCTGCTGGAATCTCCCTGACCTCTCAGAGTTCCGGTTGCTCTAATGTAGCCAGCTCTTCCTTCTCTCATTCCACCTCTCTGTCGCCTGGTTCTTTGAAACTGCCCGTTCGGCTGTTTCATTTTGCCTTTGTGTTACAGTTGAGTACTGACTCCCTTTTGCCCATCCCTGTAACACTAACTCAAGTTCAGGAAACTTAAAGTCGTAGAACCTTAGGAGAATTTGTTCCCTTGGTCTCATTATCTCCCCCCAAACAGGTTACCACAGTGTGCTAAGGGCTCAGTGATCTTCGAAAGGCACTCATTAGCAGTTGCCATTAATATCTGTTTACTGTATTACCAATCTGCAGCAAATGGGGACAGAGATGCAGTAGAACCAGCTCAGCCCCAAGAGGCAGCAGCAGAAAGCTGAGGCTGTCTCTGCCCTTCATTTACTTCTTGCTACAGAGACTGAGAACATCCTTCTGACTGCCACCCCGTGGTTGAAATCCAAGTGTTAGCATTCTTTTGGAATACTAAAGGTCTACTATCCGTGGCCTGTTGTAGCATGGCAAAAACCAGCTAAAATATCAAAGCACCAGGCATACCCCTATATGATAGGGTTCCTCACCCTGCCACAGATAACCCATCCCTTAAGATTCCTTTCCACTCCAATTAGTCTCCCTTTCATGGCCTGCCTGGCCCCGTTGCTGTTAGTGTTTATAGTTATTGCCTGCACTCCCAGGTTGCAGCCATGCAGCTTGAGTTTCAGGGTTCCCAAGCTGCAATGTTGGAAGTGTGGGCAGAGGCCTTGACCCCTCCAAAGTGGACTTGTCAGGCTACAGGGTCCTTGTGGCTGATGAGAAGGGAGCCAAATCTTTGCGGCCAGTGACTCACTGGGAAAGCTGGCCCCTGTCATCCCAATATGGTTTTAGAATATAAAAGCAGACTTTATTTTTGTCATGTACCCCTTTCGAAGGACCTCTTGCCTCTTCTGTCTGTCTCTCCAGCTGTATCAAAGAGACCAAGAACTCATGATTTGGGATCCAAAGAACCAGAATGCCATCCCAAGGCCTTGTTTGTTCTCGTTGTGTGACCTTGGGCATGTTATTGGCCTTCTGGTCGTCTTGATTCTCCCCTTAGTAAGAGGGGTACCACTCTCTAAAGCTGGCCTCACCAAAGCATGGCCACAGTGGCCTCAGGTGCCCCAGAACTTGAGCTTTTTTCTTCCCATTTGGTCTGTGATTCTTTTGGATAATAATGACTGACAAGCTGCAGAGCAACAAGAAATGAAACCCAATCTGAAGGGTTTCATTATCATTTTATTTCCCAACAAACACAGCATCCTGCTCCGTGCAGACCTGGACTCTGAGCTCACCCTCTTCATGAAGGTGGAACTCCAAACGATCAGAGCCTCTGGCATACACAGGTTGCTGGTCACTGGGGCTGAGTGAAGACAGACTACAGGTGCCTCATGCGCCTCGGGACTTGAGGTCCAAAGGAGGAGGCATTTTAAACACACACACACACACACACACACACACACACACACACACACACACCTCCTTTAAACATTTCAGTGGTAATTTGATCATGGTTAAGAATGGTACCTTAGAGCCCAATTCCTGGATCTAAAGCCAAATAATTCAACTTCACAAAGCCTCAGTTTTCACATGTGTAAGAACTGCAGCAATACTGACCTCATAGGGCTTTGATGAGCATTTATACATACATATATGTACATATATATGCATATGCTAATTATGCTGTTATGTATATGTACTATTTATATATAATATATGTACGTATATATATATATATGTGCTAATTTATTTAAATCATAAAACATTGCCAAAACCTAGAAATGTCATACTTCAGCTGAATAATTAGCCCTAAGTAGGTGGTAGCTCCTATTTATTTAGCACTTTCTCCAGGATGGAGAAATGATCTCTACCGAGACTCAGTCACAGCATTACTTATGACACTGGACCCTAAGGGACAGGCCTTTTCCTCACCAATGAAGAAACCTAAATTTACACAAACACTTTCTACCCGAAGGGCAGCAAATGGGTTTTGTATGTTGTCAACAGTCTCCTTCCTGGTTCCATGTAGCCTTCCCACCCTCTCTTGTTCTAAGAGTATCAGAAGAAGGGAGCATTGTGCTGTGCCACTACGTGGGGTCCTAGTCTGTATATAGGAGGTCATAGGTTGTCTAAGAGTGGTCTCTAGATGTAGGGCATGTTCAGTGTGTGTGTCTGTGTGTGTGTTACCTGCAACTCTTTAGCAGCCTCGGTTTCTCTCTTCGTCAGGAGCTGGAGTGGCTGCTGGAGATTAACCGGCTCACACACCGACTCCTCTGTAAGCACATGACACTAGACAGCTTCGACGCCATGTTCCGGGAGGCCAATCACAATGTGTCTGCCCCCTATGGCCGGATCACCCTGCATGTCTTCTGGGAGCTGAACTTTGACTTCCTCCCCAACTACTGCTACAATGGATCCACAAACCGGTAAGGGAATCCCTGTGCCCAGGGCTCTGAGCAGGGCAGGAAAAGAGGCTGTGGTCAGTGGCCTCCAAACTGGGCCGAGTGGTTCTGTTTGTTCCCGTGATGAATGTTTATGTGGAGATGCTCCTGGGTATAGGTTCTGTGGTGGAGGTGACGATGCCATAGGGAACAACCACTACTGTCCGGGTGCTTGGAGCGTTCTAACCTGACTTGGCCCAGTTTGGAAACGATGCAAACCTCAGAGAAGTCTTTCTCCTCCGAGAAAGTGGTGCAGGAGGTGAGTGGTAAAGTATCAGCAGGAATAAGCAAGGCAAACAGCAGGAGTCTATCGTGGGCAAAACTTGTATATAATGGAGAAGCTGGGGATGAAAGTAGCACTAGGGGAGTCAGAAACGGATAAAGGGTAAAGGCAGCCTGCAGAAGGCAGGAGCTCACAGATAAGCACCAGAACAGCCAGAACTGTTAAACACGCAGGCTTTCTTCTTCAATATAAGAAGTTGGCACCTGTTTTCCATCCAGAAGGTCGGGAATGGCTGGGTGTATTAATACCTGCTAATCTTTGCCTTCTGTAAAGCCAGCCCTCACAGATTGGCCCAGAATCCTGAGCACTGTCTCTCAGTCAATAGGACCCACCCTCATGAAGGAGGTCCCATGTACTTTGCAAAAGAGTTTGCTGTTATGCTTATCACAGACTGCTCCTCCCTAGGCCCTTATCCCGAGAACTGTTCCGCAGTCAGTAGAACCATTCTTGTAGGAAAGGTCACAGGTGCTTTACTAAAGAGATGTACTTTGCAAAGGAGTTTTGGTGTATCCTGGCCTAAAGCTTTGTTGTGACAATTGTCACAAGGAAACTTCCCCCAAAGTCTTAATGTGTTTAAATGTGTAAAAATTAAACCACTTGGTGCCAGACCCCAGAAGTTTTGACCCAGAATCAGATTATAGGCTCTGTAGGCCACAATAGGATCATCAGGTGTTCATTAGCCCTGGGAGAGTTTGATGAAGGATGGCGCTGTGATCAAATTGTGCCTTGGAAGGACATGCACATACCTGAACATGTGTGTGCAAAACAGGCCTCTTTTACAGAGTGAAACATGCCTCCTGGAAGGGGCGCACAGCTCTTGGGCAAGCGCTGAAGTAGAGATGAAACTTAATCCTTTGTTCACACAGGGCCTTAGCCGCTGTATTCGCAAACCAAGGGAGAACACAAAGATGGGGGAAAGTGTCTGTAGGTGAAGCCTTTCCGCCCCTGGAGCAGTCAGGGGTGTGTGAACTGAATCCCCATTGGATGACTGGAAGGATACATGTGCCTGAATCTTCACACTGAGCAGCACGTGCCCAGCTTTCTAAAGATTTGACTTTATAGCACATTTGCGTCAGGACTACAAAGCGTAGCCTGGCCACAAACTATATATACCCTGTCTTGTCGCCAGCCATGACAACACATGAACTGAGCCTGGCTGTGAACAGCCCATGTACTGGGAATGGTGCTATTTTTGTGTGTGTCGGGGGAGGGGTGCTTTGCCCCCTACTTGTGTGTATGTGTTTGTGTGTGTGTGTGTTGTATGCATGTATGTATGTTTGAATATGTGTGGGCACACGAGTGTGCGGGTGTGCATGCATGCGCATGAACACACATAACGTCCCAGGTTGATGACAGGAATCATCCTCAGTCGCTGTTCCACCTTACTCATTGAGACAGGCTCTCTCAATCAACCCCAGAGCTTGCCTGTTCAGCTATGTCTTTCAATCAACCCCAGAGTTTGCCTCCGGGGCTCCAGGTTTCCCCATTTTTGGAGAAGAATGGGAGAGCGTGCAGTAACCAAAGGGGGTTATCAGGAGAGCGCAGCTCCACAGGCAGCCATCTCAGACACGCCATGTAGCAGGTGTTAGTGGGAGGGGCTTCTGCTGTCTCCTGTCCATGGGAGGACGTCCTAGGACACCCTCAGTTAACTGCCTGTCCATCTCTTTTCTCCTAGTTTTGTCCGAACTGCCATCCCTTTCACCCAAGAACCGCAACGAGATAAACCCGCCAACGTCCAGCCTTATTACCTCTATGGATCCAAGGTAAATTAGTCCTGTCCCATCCCGCCTGTGACAGACAGAGTGAGGAAAAAAACGAATAGGAAGGCGTTCCCAGAGTCAGCAAAGCCAGAGGGTATGATGTTGGAGAGGTACATTGAAAGCCAGGCACTGCAAGCATGTTCATCTTTATTGGTTCACAGCTAGCAGGGATGGGGTACGAAGCTCCGGCAGTGGGGAAGCTGGGCGGAAGCTCAGGGGAAGGGTGAGTACTATGCTGAGGTTAGTGGGTACATGGGGAGACTCCCTGGGGCTTCCCAGGTTCTCCCATTTCTAGGTTGGTTCATTACAACATGGTCTAGTGACTCTGGGATTCTGAGCTCTGTAAATATAAGGGGTTTGCAGGCAGAGCTTGAAGGCTATTGTAAGTGTTAGGAGCTGTCTCTGAGAGGAAGGTCTCCTCTATTTCGTGTAGCTTTTATTCACATGTGCACATCCTCATTCCGATTAATTGTCCCCACAGGGTCTATTGCCTTCAGTCCTTCTGGCCATTCATCCATCCAATGACATTTAGTATATACCCCTTTGAGGC